GAAATTTAACATTCGTAAAAATCTGAAACGAAAACAATATTGGGTTTTTTCAGTATTTCCGCATTTAAACTGCTGATTAAACCCGCCTTTCCTGCATCAAGGGTATAGGTTTTCTATAGTATAAGTTACCAACTCGAAACCAAAACAAAACAAAAAGTAAACAAAATAATAAACGAAGCACTGTCGTCGTCGTCGGTTGTTAGTTTAAATATTGCGCATACGCCATGTGGGCGAGTGTGTGAACGAGAGAATTAGAGAAGCTTTCGATTAGATTGCATTGGCTTGCAGTTTCTTTTGGGCGCCGTCGAAGGAAGTGTTTTGTTAAGATTATCAATAATTTAGGGTGGAGAGAGTAGATGTGGCGAATTGGATACTTTGAGAAGGGTTGCTAAGACATGCGAGCTGGACACAAACAATGGAAATTTCCCCCATGAAATGAATCTTATAATAGACTCATTCAAGGAAAAGTTTATTGTTTGCTTGTTTGTTTTACCTATACTATATATGTTTGTAGGAATATTCGAATGTCTTTACCCATTTAAAAATGATTATAAAAACGTTTCCAAGAGCCAAGTAAATGTTTTAATCAGTAAATTAGATTATGATTTATGATGGATTGCATTGATACTTAAATATTTCCTGAATGCTTGAAGTCTTAAGGGAATACGAGGTGTGTTCAAAAAGTAAGGTGACTTTTCAAATTTCGCGGGCAACATATTTTCGATTATCGTTTTTTTTGTTTTGTTATATTGGTACACTCTTCCCTAACATCTGTACCAAGTTTCAATGGAACATCCTCTTTTGTTTGGTTGTGAGAGGCGTAAAGTTACAAGTTGTTTTGCGAGCTCGGCGATTTTTTGCTATCGAAAAATATGGATCAAAGGATTTGCATCAAATTTTGTGTAAAAAATAAAATTAAGTGCTCTGAAACACTTGAAATGTTGACAGTGGCATACGGTGAAACTGTTCTGAGTAAAAAAAATGTGTACAAGTGGTACAAACTCTTCCAAGATGGCCGGGAAGATGCCAATGACCAGCCTCGCTCTGGACGCCCAAGCACGTCAACAACTGATGAAAACGTTCAAGCAGTGACGAAAATTGTTTTGGAAAATCGTCGAATCACTATCAGAGAAGTTGCTGAAGATGTCGGTATATCGCTTGGCTCGTGCCATGAAATTTTTTCAAACGTTTTGGGTATGAGTCGTGTGTCAGCGAAGTTTGTTCCGAAATTGCTGAATTTTGAGCAAAAGAACCGTCGCATGAGCATCGCTCAAGAGCTGTTGAATGACGTCAACGACGACCCAGATTTACTCAAAAGGGTCATAACTGGTGACGAATCATGGGTATATGGTTATGATATCGAAACCAAAGCCCAATCGTCCCAATGGAAGAGCCCAGACGAGCCAAGACCGAAAAAAGCAAAAAATCGCCGAGCTCGCAAAATAACTTGTAACTTTACGCCTCTCACAACCAAACAAAAGAGGATGTTCCATTGAAACTTGGTACAGATGTTAGGGAAGAGTGTACCAATATAACAAAACAAAAAAAACGATAATCGAAAATATGTTGCCCGCGAAATTTGAAAAGTCACCTTACTTTTTGAACACACCTCGTATAATAAAAATTAAAGTTATTTTTGTTTGGAAAATTATATAATTTATGGCGAAAACTTGCTGATATTCTCCTACAGGGCACTCCCCATCCAGCCTTTCAACTGACCCCCGCTCTCTGTCTTTACAGTGTGGAAATTGGGGAATCGGTGCGTGGCGAGGATGTGTACATCGTGCAGTCGGGATCCGGCGAGATCAACGATAACCTGATGGAGCTGCTGATCATGATCAATGCTTGCAAAATCGCGTCAGCCTCTCGTGTTACAGCTGTGATTCCTTGCTTTCCATATGCCCGCCAAGACAAAAAAGATAAGGTAGGTTTGCCTCAACACGATCCGGCCGCTGAATATTACACGGTATAATCGATTCGGATCCCTTTTCGGTTCCTGGTTCCGACTTATGTGCAAAGAAAAGCAATGTATACAATTTATTTTTGATAATACGACTAATTAGTCCAACTCAAAAAGCCCACACACTCTGTTTAATTGGGGAAAAGTGGAAATTAAAAAGAAAAACGCGCAAAAGTAAACTTTTCCCCCGAATGTTTTTCCCCAACGTTAAGCTCGATTGTTAATTGCTATATAATCAATTCATTTATCCTATATATTATATCTACTTCTCTTTTTATGTGTGTGTCTGTGTGTTTCTAATGCATTTTGTTAATCCAGTTAAATTTGATTTCCTTTTTCAAAAAAAAAAACAAAAATACTGTTTGCAACGAAGCTAAGCTGGAGAAAAAACAAAATCAAATTTGTAAACGCACGTAATTGGAAAATGTGGAAAATTTATATAAATAACTCGATGATTTAGCTATACGTTTTTTTTTCTTAATTTTTATGCCGTTTGTAATTGAAAACTTTAATTATTTTTTATTCCCATACCATGCTCGCTCTCTCTTTCTCGCCCTCCTGCTACTATATCCCTCTACACGCGCTCGCGTCCTTGTATGTGTGTGTGCCTTGGTGTATTTCTCTCTCTTTCTCCGTTTCGCTATCGATCTCTGTCTCTCTTTCTCGGTGAAGTTGGCAGGCAGTGAGGATAATGCGGAAAGCAAGAAACTAGCCAAGAAAAACTACGATTGGAAATTTAGGGTATTTACCTTATACCTTTTCAACTACTAAACTCTCACCCAATTCACACTTTATGTTCTATATATATATATATCTTTATAATGGGAAATCTTTATTAATTTTCTTTCAATCCGAAAAAAAAACACTTAAAACCTGGAAGGGAATATCAGAATGGAAACCTCATCTTCAGAAACTCATAAATCACGAAGGAAATTTTTGGCGTCTGGCTTAACAAGTTTCTCGTTCCTCTAGAGAAAAGCCGCTTTTTGTCTTTTTTGCATGTCGTTCCCTACCTCCCTCCTACCCCGCTCATTAACTAATAAAGTACTTCTTGGTTAACCATCACACGAAATTTGGTTAAAATGCAATGATAATGACTATTGGTAATACAAATTTGTAAAGAAATAAATTTTCCACATATTTTCGTTGCCTCTGTTTGTGTTTTGTTTCGGCGGCTCTTCATTGCAAATATTATAAAAAAAATTACATAAAATAATCTATATTTAATTATAATGAACCTTTAATAAATATTATTGTTTGTGTTGTTTAGACTGATGTTTGTTTGTGTTGATTGTTGTGATCTTGCACTTTTGTTATTGTCTTATGGGACCCTGACAACAGCCTCCGTTTCGGGGCTTGAAAAATGTTTTCCATTCCACTTGATTAAGTTTTTCCGTTGCTAGATAATCCCCTTGTGACGTCAGACGATCGGATCGGCAATGGGGGGTATATATATATATGTACATATATATAGACGATGAACTTTATGGGTCAAACGCGCAAATTGCACAAATATTTTTCATTTCTGTAATCTGTAAATGCGTTTCTTGACATTCAAGATAATCAGCTGAAATGGAAGGGAAACATATAGTATTATTATTATTATTTAAAATTGTACTTGAATTGGCACTGCAACCTGATTTGGATTGAGAACACTCCCCCCTCCTTTTCCACGTGACTAACACGCCTTCTTTTGATATACGGATTACCAACTTTGTTAACTTGAACTTAAGAATACACATTTTAATTTGAAAACTCTCAATCATTCTGAACTTTTTGTGTTTTCTTCTTTTTCTTTTTATACTCTTTGTCTCTCTATTGCATCACTTTACCTAAAAAAAAAAACAAAACAAACAAAATTCGAAATCTCTGTTGTTGAACTTAGGAGTTTTCAGCCAAACAATATACTGTGAGTAGTTCGGTTAGTTCCTGTATCCCAGGCATTATAATTTTTAATGCTATTTGCGGGACTAAAAAAAAGAAAATTTGCCTTAGAATATTTTTGTCTTAAGTATTTTGCTTTGTTGCGTTCTTTAACGTTTTCTTTTGAGTTGATGAAACCAGACAATGATCTTTCCCCTCTATCCAAGTTATATACACCTTTCTAAATCAGACCGATGTTTTGCATGCATTTGTTATCCCATCGGTTTGGAATCCAATAAACCATTAAAATGCAATCCCTAATCAAATGAGAAAGAAAAAAGGAAATTTTAAGACCAAAATTGTTCGATTTTCTTTGCACTTGTTTGCGTATTAACCGATCTATCTGTATATGTTTATCTCTAACTGGCGTTGCACTCTATCATTTGGGTATTACTATATACATATATCTCATTATCGGCCTTTGGCGATCTCAATTCATTATATCTGGGGTGCTGCACCAAATCACATTTGTCCTTTGTGTTTTCTCGCAACCGAAACTCTTTTCTGTCTTATGAATTAAGTATTTTCCTTATGCAATCTATTGAAACGTTAACCTCTTTGTTGATTTCTGTCTATATACATATTTTTTGTGTGTCCATGTTCGATTTTTGATTTCCATGATTTAATTCCCATAATACCTAGCCCATAAGACTAGAATTCAATAATTTAACTACTAGTTGCGCTAATGGAAAACCTTTCGTTGCATTTCTTTCTACGCTGGCCAATGCACAGAGTCGTGCGCCCATCTCGGCCAAATTGGTGGCCAACATGCTGTCCGTGGCTGGAGCTGATCACATCATAACCATGGATCTACACGCCTCACAGATTCAGGTAAGTTTGAACTTAAGTTAAAGTTATAGCAACTACATTAACAAGTTTGTCTAGCTGTTAGAGATCCAATCACTGTAAATGCAATATAAGTTGGTTTAAGAATGTAAAACTTCAGTGTGAAATTAAGATTTTCATACTTTACATTCTTTGCACATATTTCTTTAAATGAATTGCTTACTATAACTTTCAGTGAAACCATTATATAGTTATCTTTGATATCGTTAAATTTGTAAAGCCTATAAATCGTTTTCCTATCAGCCAACCAATTACGATAAAAAAAATGTGATTTGCCTTCTGAACGACGTAACAATTTCGACTTTTTTTATTGGAAGTAAAACCAAAGAAAGTATTTATAGAAAGCAAATTAAAGTACAAAATATATATATGTCAGGGTATATCCAATAACAAGCGGTAAACTTTTCAGTGAAAATTTGTTGTACAGAAGGCGGGATCAAACGAGAGCTTCGATCCTCGGTTACAGACTATCTTTGGTTAGTTTGTGAGTTAGAAGTTGGGCTCCGAAGCGTTAGTAATATCGTTATGGGAATTTAAACTGATTTTAGTATTGTCATCGCTAAGTTCGAGCATTGGTCGCATTGAGAGAATGCTCACTGTTAGCTTGCTTAGTTCGTCCATTAGCTCAGATATACGCTCCTCTCTTTCGGCAATCACACTTTCCAGATAGTCTGTCTTTTCGATGATGGAGTTAATGTAGCCGGACTTCTCGGAACTCTCTCTTAAAACTTTAGTGTAGTGTTCGTAATCGACTACTTTCTTGGTCACCTTCTTGACATGTCCGTTTAAAAGAGCCACATCCACGTCAATGGTATGTACCTTTGGTTGGTTATTACCAGAGGAAGAGCGCTCGATTATTTGAGTGAGGGATCGATTAAGACTGCGTTTAGGAGAATCCATTTTAGTCACCGGTTTGTACATGTCGCTTTTTAGGGAACGCGTGTCATCCATGGGGCATGGCCGAGGGCTACCGCACTTGGTCACTGAAATTAGATCCTTGAACAGCATTTCAATTGCTCCTGGTGCGGCTGAAGCCAGTTTCTCAAGTCTAGAATGTGGCACATGGATGCCCAGCTTCCTTAGAACCTTGTGGTTGAAGATTTCCCAGCTCTTGAGCTTCAGCACCACACTGCTCTTGGGCATATAATTGTGCAGATCGACGAGACGTGGATAACACTGCTTGATAATCTTCGCAGTTGGTAAAACATCAGAGAAAAAGCGACGAGTACGCAAGTCCAGGATAATGCGCTGCTCCTTAAGCCATTGTTCCAGATCCGAACTCTGCTCCATATTTGGGTGGGACATTTTTGTAGAAAAATTTTTTGTTTGAAGATTTTACCTGCTTTTTGATTTTTGTTTTAAATTTATTTTAGAGAGATTGGATTCGTTCTGTATTCGAAACTATAATGTGAAAGAAACTGATTGTTAATGCCTGACAGTTGTCTTAGAGTTTGCACCGACTACTTGATGTTTAAATTATTTTCATTCACAGGGTTTCTTCGATATACCAGTTGATAATCTCTATGCCGAGCCAGCGGTACTCAAGTGGATCAAGGAGAACATTCCCGAGTGGAAGAACTCGATCATTGTGTCTCCTGATGCTGGCGGAGCCAAGCGGTAAGTTTGTTTTCGTAATTATAATTCAATAAGTTAATTTGTATGTTCCTTTATTAGTGTCACCTCGATTGCGGATCGTTTGAATGTGGAGTTCGCCCTGATTCATAAGGAGCGCAAGAAGGCCAATGAAGTGGCCTCCATGGTTCTGGTGGGCGATGTCAAGGACAAGATTGCCATCCTGGTCGACGATATGGCCGACACGTGCGGCACAATTGTGCATGCCGCCGATCGCTTGGTGGAAGCTGGAGCCACCAAGGTGGGTTCGGTTGACTTCTTATTAGTTGTTCTAAGTTTAAAATTAATTTTTTTTGTTTTTAGGTTTATGCCATTCTGACGCATGGCATTTTCTCGGGTCCCGCGATTTCGCGGATCAACAATGCCTGCTTTGAGGCAGTGGTGGTGACCAATACCATACCACAGGATGGACACATGCGTGATTGTCCCAAAATCCAGGTTGGTTTCTATAGGACTACGCGTCTAAGTGCTTATACTAATGGTTTTGGTTTTTCTTTCTCGCAGTGCATTGATGTCTCGATGATGTTCGCCGAGGCCGTGAGACGGACACACAACGGCGAGAGTGTCTCGTATCTCTTCTCAAATGTTCCATACTAAACGAAATGTCAGTTAAACCAGCAAAACGTTTACAAAAAAAAAAAACAGCAACCAGAACACCGTTAGCAAGCTACCGCAAACACAACTCCAACAGAAATTTGTAATGCAAAAACAAGAACCACAACAATTTGAAACAACAACACATTTTGCCATCATCATCGTTATATATTTTTTATGGATTAACTATTGTAATTAAAGCAAATGCAAACTCAGTAGATGGGAAATCGTCATTATGTAATTATACTAAATAGGAACCAAAAGATAACATCTAATAACAAAAAACAAAAACCGTATATAAAAGTACACAACTGCAATGCCTTTCCTTTGTATAGTAGGATCTTTGTTTAAAATATATTTTTTTTTTTTTGATTTTTTCTGATTTTAAAACAAACGATAATTCCCAGTTAATTGGTGTAAACATTGGCCTGCTCTTAGAGAGAAATTTAGATTTATAGATTAACACCGTAGAAGATATAAACCTACACCCAAAACACTCACACCTCCCACACACACTCACACACCTAAAACAACTACACACATACACTTACACCCAACATAAATATTGTAATTTTACACTGTGCAAAAACTTTTTGATGATTCTTTATTGTAAGTTCAAAACAAAAGAAAAACACAAAATACTTGCAAGTTCAAAAACAAATCTAGTAAAATTAAGTAAAAACAAATACAATTGAAAAGAACATAGCGAATAGGCGTTAAAAAATAAACAACAAAAAAACAAACAACAACAAAAACTAAAAAAAAAAATAATAAAAAAATATTACAGAAAACTAATGGGAAAGTGTGTTTTTTTTATTTTTCACTGGTTCTGGTTTTATTCTGGATAGGAATTAGGTGATATCTTAGCTTGTGTTTAATAAACTTTATCCCTTACAAAGTTAAAATAGTTTTTTTTAAAAGCATGTTTGTTTTATTATGTACATATTTTAATGCATATAAAAGTGACTGAGCCAAGCTCAAAACTCATCGAACTCCTCATCGCCCTCGCCCTCCTCGGCATTGTCCAGACCGACCTCCTCAAAGTCGCGTTCCAAAACGGCGATGTTCTCTCGCGCCTCTGTGAACTCGCCTTCCTCCATACCCTCACCCACATACCAATGCACGAAGGCTCGCTTCTTGAACATCAGATCGAATTTGTAGGATAGATTCGAGAAGGCAACAGAGATGGCGGTGGTATTGGACAGCATGCAGCAGGCCTTGGAAGTCCTGGCCAAATCTCCATCCGGGACAAAGGCTGGCTTTTCATAGTTTATGCCAATTTTAAAACCGGTGGGACACCAATCTACAAATTGGATGTGCCGCTTGGACTTGATAGCCGAAACTGCAGCATTTACATCCTTGGGAACCACATCTCCCCTGTAAAGCATGCAACAGGCCATAAATTTACCCGCACGAGGATCACACTTAACCATCATATTGGATGACTCAAAACAGGCATTGGTTAAAGTGGTTATTGCATGCTGTTCATGGGATGACCTCTCAGCGGACATCAGCGGAGCATATGCCACCAATGGGAAATGGATTCTAGGGAAGGGCACCAAATTCGTCTGGAATTCATTGAGATCCACATTCATCGATCCACTGAAACGCAGCGAGGCCGTTGTAGAACTGACTATTTGGGCGATCAACCGATTTAGGTTCCTGTAAGCAGGCCTATCTACACCCAAACTATTATTACATATATCGTAAATAGCCTCATTGTCCACCATAAACACACAGTCCGAGTGCTCCATGGTGGAGTGTGTGGTCAGCAGGGCATTATATGGTTCCACCACAGCAGTAGAGACCTTGGGCGATGGATAAACGGCAAAATCCAGCTTGCACTTTTTACTATATTCGGTAGATATTCGTTCCACCAACAGAGAGGTGAATCCCGATCCAGTTCCACCGCCCAACGAATGAAAGATGAGGAATCCCTGCAAGCTATCGCACTGCTCGGCGATTTTTTGCATTCTTGATGTTACCTTATCAATGACCTCCTTGCCGATGGAGTACCTTCCTCGGGCGTAATTATTGGCCGCATCCTCTTTTCCAGAAATCATTTGCTCCGGATGATACAGATCTTTCATGCAACCATTCCGCACATCATCAATGACCGACGGTTCCAAATCGACGAAAATCGAGCGGGGCACCTGTTTGCCATTCCCGGTTTCCGTGAAAAAGGTCCGAGCATCGTTGGCGGTTGTGTCGTGACCCACACTGGCACTGCTTCCGCTCGCCAAAAGCTCCTCCTTGCTCTTCAAGCTGCCGTCCAGGTTGATTCCGTGCTCCAAAAGATATAGCTCCCAGCAGGCGTTTCCGATCTGGATGCCGCACTGGCCAATCTGGATGGAAACCACTTCACGCTGAAAGGAAAGTAAAGTGCAGATATATAAAGATACGTAAATAAACGGGAGTTAGTAAGAAGGCGCCATTGTTCTAGTTTAGGTTAGGTTGCATTTTGGTAAAAAAAAATATTTTTAGTTAGGCAACATTTTTAAATCATATTTATACCAAATAAGTATATCACAATTTTTAATATATTTTTTAGCAATATATTTTGGATTATTGTTAGTTTACGCAGAAAATCTGCCTAAGCCAAAAGAATTATATAAAATGATTAATTAAATTAATGAAACAAAAATTATTATGATTATGTAGTCTTAAGATCGGTAATATATATTCCATTCATTTGCTTTACCAAGACCCAGTTAGGCAAAAATAAAAAATTATTCACCAATATACCTTTACATTTTTTACTTTTATTCATTTTCACTTTCCACTTCAGAGATCAATGTTTGATAATTTCATTCTTAATTTTTTCACTTTAGATGTCTTTATAACCATTTTTGATCTTACCATTTTAATGAGGTTGTGTAAGAGGATCTTGTAGAGGGCTTATTAAGATATTATTTTGTTGGCCTCGCCACGCGAAAAGTGCAACTCTTTCTTTGGTGGTTCGAAAGATTCTGGAAAAGCGCCGTTACGAGGTACAAAAGAGAATTGCCAAACTGGAAGACAGGGTTGCAGCAAAGCTATCATAATTACCGATTTCTTCTAGCCATTTTCGAATAACAATAGTTAAGTTGTGATCGATGTAAAGTAATTTAATCGAGTTTAGAAAGTATAAAATATGTTGAATACTTTTAAATAACGAATTGCAAATCGGAATCTTTTTAGATAATATTAAATCGAAGGAGTTGTACCTTAAAATTGAAACTCTATGTAAAGTTGCATTTTAATAACTTCTATATTTGTCTACATTTTCAATGAATAATTTTTTTTCTACATTTTCATATTTGCGCTAACCATTTGTCTAGTAATCTGTGACTAAATATTTGGTCTACGTTCATGGCTTTTGAACTTTTGACTTCTACTCGATAAAGAACTTCTACTTATGCTTTTGCTTGGATATGACGGATACGGAGGATCCACCAGTTGCCATTGCGGATCCCAGGCAGGTGTTGCTGCTTTGGGGTAATGAGACCCCAGTGGTGTTTGCTCCCTGGAAATTGTGATGGCTGTGGCGCTGCTTTAGCATCTCCTTCCACTCGGACTCAAGCCGCACATAGGAGCCACCTAGCGGTTGGGCATTCTGTACTAGGCACTGATCCGTTCCGGTCTTTTTGGTCACATAATTGGCCACTTGCTTCATAATCTTCTCTTCGAAGTCTCGCTGATGATCTTGATTGCTTCGAGCCGACAGCTCACCAGACCAAAAGCGACCCGACACATCAGTGGGACTGGATTATATAGTTGAGTTATTAGAAATGTATACATTTATATACCAAATCTTACCGCTTTCGTGACTTTTTTCCACGCGTTTTCCTGGGCGGAGGACGATGCTCTGATTCGCATCCGTCACTGCTAGTGCTGTACTCATCATCGTCATCGTGAACATTGCGCATGCGAGGACGTAGGCATCGAGCATCATCTTCACTGGTGGACGTAGTCTCGGAATCGGTGCTGGTGTCTATTTGGTAGCGAGATCCTCGCATTCGACGACTTACCCGGTGGTTGGTCACTGTGAAGCCAAAGTTAGGAAGGATTAGATGTTATATGAAGATTACACACCTCTCTTCAGCACACTATCCATGCAAAGCTGGGGCAGAAGGCCTTGACGGCATCTTTGGGGAGTCAGAGAGATTCCTTGCCAGCTAGGACAGATCTCGCCGGCGGTTGCTAATTCCTGGATCTTCAACGGTGGTTGCTCACACAAAGCATAGTTTTCGGCAACCAATTGAGCAATGGCCAAAATGGCACGCTCACGATCCGTTTCAACCAAGACACTGTGCTCACGGAACTGGCAACCCTATAAAGGTAGAGAACGATAGATTAGAAATTTAATAATAATAAAATAAATACAAACGTTTGGTCCTGGAAGCGTCTCATAGCGAAAAGCCTGCTGACCGCAGCAGGAAAAACGGCCCGCTGGTCCGGCATTGCCAACGGGTCCTAGAAAATTGGGTGATTCCGGATGGAAGCGGCACCAGTGCATCTGGTATACCGGAAAGTGTGCCTCGCAAGTGCAGCAATACAGATAATGGCAGTGACCCCACAATTTCCAATACACCTTACGCCATGACTTCAGTTCCTTGAACAGCTGAACTATATAGACATTTAGATCCCAGTTGGTATCCCGCACATGGTGGCTCATCAGTTGACCCCAGCGGTTTAGACGGATATTACTAGGCACACAGCTCACATAAGATTTCATCGTGTTGGTCAAGCAATTAAAGCAACGGGAGCATCGAAATAATCCGGACATGCTATAGAAATGTCCTCTCAGTGCCTCAGGATCAGGTTCGCAGAGCGACTGTATTAACTTGGTCCATAGGCGAGGTGTTACACGTTCTTTTTTGTCTCTCACCATCTCCAGTTCCAAATTTGTGAACATGGCCGCCAGACGGGTGACCAAGGCATCATTTAAACACGAGAGATTCGTTGATGTCCGGACCACTTCACTAAGATGGGCATGACAAAAGGTCAGGCACTCCAGCAGTAGAGGCTCCATCTGTAAAAAGCTGGCCGACACTAAAATGGGAACCACATTATTACCGTCCAACTGGGGACCGGTGCTTTGAGTGGCAGCTGGATGATCCTGGCTTTGTGCACTGTGCTTGATCCACTTCATAAGCCAGTCAAAGATCAGGATATCGCAATGCACAGATATGTCCATTTCTTCCAATCGCTGACCCGCAGTCACGTCAGCAAAATAGCCCATTTTGGTCACCAGCAGGTGTTGCGGGCAAGAGAAGTCCTTTGAGGTGTTTTTCACCTCATCGCAGACGTGGATCACTACTTCGGGTCTACAAAAAAACAAGATTGATAATAAATTCCCTATAAATATGGTACATACTCCTTTCGCTCCTGTCTGGCATGCTTGCTGTCCTTAACCAGCAACAGCGATTTGCGTCTTCCGGCGTTCATTCCAACTGGCTTCGAAATCGGTTCCTTAATCATTGCTCTCACCATGCTGTTTGTGATCTGTTCCGGATGCAGTGCATCTCCTCCATGATGCGCCTGTTGCAGACAAGGAGCCGATGGACTAGCTGCAGGAATAGTACCATGCGAGTGGCCTATCTCTATTAAAGATTTAGATGCTCCAGAGGGAAGTGAAGCTGCCGGGGGAACAGGATTCAGAGTCGGCGTCGGCGATGTCTGGGTGATTACCTCTTTTGGTGGCAGTAACTGCTTGTGCTTATTTTTGCCATTTTGGAGCTGTGGGGGTAAAGGAACGGGGCAAATGAAGGACAACACAGAGTCGAGGACACCCTCATTAATAGCAGCATCCAATTGCTCGCCCAGCTTGGGATGTAATCCCCGGTAGGTGGACTCTGGACGGGATGATCGACTTTGGTGGCTGTGTCCCGAGCGCAGTACACTGGATTTTGCCTCCTGGAGCAAACTGGAACGACTCTCGTCTGGTTGCCGAATACTGGAACTCCGGGATGGACGACGTAGACCGAGAAGTTCGTTTACCAACGGATTGTCCGCTAATTGAGCAAAATCGAATTCGTCCTGTTTGGAATTTCGCTTGGCTGTGACAGCACTGCCCTCCATCGGCGGCACCGGTTCCCTGGTGTGTGGTTTTCCCATATCGGACTTTGCTATCATGTCATTCACATGACAGGATAGTTTCAAAAACTCTAGAAATTCGTTCAAACTGATTTGAAACTCAGCGCCATTTGCCGAATCGTTGGATTTCTTGGAGGGAGCCGATGGAGACTCCTCCGGCTGGTGGCTAGCAGAGGCTCCGTCGTCGGAAGCTGAGTTCTGCATCCTGGCCAGTCCACAAATCAATGGGAATCCAACGATATCGATTAATTTGTCCGTTGCTCTCAGCAACAGTGCAGTGAACTAAAAAACAATGCAACTAGCAACAATAATTGATTTTTCAAAATACAATGAAAATCAGCTCAACAAAATAATAATAAAGTCGCAAAATAACTTTTAATTATATTCAGAATCATAAAATTAAATATTAATAGAGCCCCGAAATTATATTCAAACTGAAAATCAATTTAACAAGTTTCTCTGTAGAATATATTTCTACTTATACGCATAAATGAGTTAAAATATATTTTTAGTTAGTCTAAAAAAATAAGTAACTTTAATAATTGAAGGGCGATTGTTATAACTTCGTTCACGTGTATTTTAAAAACCGCGGCTACTCGATAACAATTCATTTCTGTAAGCTGGCACCATTCTAGTAAATTGAGAATCGACTTCAAAAGGCCTAACATCGACAGACGAGAAGAGCAATCGATATCGCAGAAATAATGAAAACATATCGAAAGCAAACATATACATACAAAAATTCATTGATTTTGTCAACGTAAAACACACAGTGCAGCAGAGCAGTTAAATCTGTATGCTGGTTAAATAGCACAGTTAACTGAATTAGAAACGCTGGAGCGGCAAAAGTTCGGCGGCAATGCGAACGGTCTGAAGAAAAAAGCCCTGAAGCGAAGGCTTTTACCTGGGCCACTGTCCAATCAGAACGCTGCTCCCAATCAGAACTTGCAAAGGGGGCGGGGGTGGAAAGAGCGAAAAATCCGGATACGGGAAACAGTGGCAAAAAGCTGAAAAAAAACAAACAATCGACGAGTGTGTGGAATAGCATGCAATGATGGAAAAATGACCAGGGATCTGAGATTTCGGACCACGGATCACTAGTGGGATAAGGCCGTAAAATGCCCCGGAACACTTGCAGGCCAAGTGAATGCGCTGCTATCCAGGATGAACCGGAGGCGAAAGCAAATAATAACAACAACAATAATAATAATAACGAGGGTATCATAAAACAGGAACTAGAGGCAGCTCCGCCGGTTTGCCACAGGAAATCGGAGCGCCGGAGAGTGGCCCGTGATATCTTTTTGGTTTTCGAAGAGCAGACCACCCGGCGACGGGGGAAGGGAGCACGGGGCAAGACCACAAGGGCTAAACAAAAGTTTGGACACCTAAAGGTAGCTAATACGCCGCGCATCAATAAGAATGTGCTGCGCGAAATCAAAACGGAACCAAAGTGCAGCCCGGAAGCAGTTGCCCCGGCTGCTGCCCAACCTATTACACCCATTCCCGCACTGAATCCCTTAATTCCTTCTCAAATAACCCCGCCTGAATCTGTCCTGCCTGAGGAGCAGACGCCACCCAAATCTTTGCCGCGAACGGCAGCCGTGAAATTGGAAACCAAAACAACTGTCGCATCCATAGCCGCTGCATCTAATGTGGCGGTATCCAAGCGAATCAGTCCCAAGCCGAAGGCTCCACCTGTTGTGCAGGAAGAGAAGGAGGTGTCAACAGCAACTCCTGGCTCACCAACAATTCCTCAGCCCGTTTCCGCACCCGCCACCACACCCACGACGCCCAGCGTCAATCCCATCTTCCTGTGGGTCAAACAAGACGATACCCGCATTGTGGAGGTGCGCTGCGAAGATTACGACAAGCGAAATAGGATACGTCTAACCAAGACGACGAATGGATGGCGTTCTATGCCACGAACAGATGCTTCCTCAACTAGGATAGTCAAATTCTTCCATGGCTCCGCCGCCCCACTGATGAAGGTCAAGCGTGAGCAGCATCTGCAGCGCCTGGAGGAGGAAGAGCAACACCACCAGGAGCTGGACCAGGCAGAGGAGCACGAGCAAGACCAGGATCATGCGGAGCAGCAGTTGCCGTCCATTGGACAGACTCTGTTGAACGATTGGGATGACAGTGCCACGCAATTACCAGACGAGATTGAAGATGAAGAAGAGAGGCAGGAAAGTGATCCTGCAGAGCAACAAAATGGCCACTTGACCACTGTGCTCGAAGATGTAGTGGTGCTGCCACCTGCCCTAGAGCCGGAAACAGCACCCACGCCTTGTTTCGATGGACTTCTGGACAGTGAGGAGACCAATGCGTCCACTAAGGCCACCAAGACCAATACGCCCACATATCAGAGCTCAACGCCGTCGCCGCTGCAAATGCAGCTGTGCCCGAAGACGGGTCTGTTTTTGCCTAAAGGAGATCTTGCCCTGGTTCAGCTCCCTGAAGAAGATGTTGTGCAGGAGGAGGAAGAGGACAAGCCACTGACTGGAAACGAGCCTGTGGACTGTTTCGATTCAAATACCAAGAATCTAAAGGATCTGCTGGACGATGCCGATGATCTTCTACAGAATTGTACCAGTGATAACGGAAGCAATGGAGCGGATCTGCTCGATTCGCTGGTCAAGCGTAGCTGCGAAGATAATCTTGTCCAGGAGGCAAGCACTGGCAGTGGGAGCAATCCGCAGCACTCTTCATCCTCCGGCGACGAACTAAGTTCCTTCTGTGTGCCCGATCTCGACAAAGACCTGCCCAGCATTCTCAATATGGACAACGACGATGCACCCAAGTGTTTGTCCTTTAATGAGGCGGGTGAGATCGAGGGCTTGAATGGAGAGCTCTTCTTGGGAATCGAGGCCTTTGAGAAACAACAGGAAGCTGTGGCTACCGAACCGGAGCCCCAACCGCCCACTCCTGCCACCGTGGAACTGACCCAAACCCCAACGCCCACAACGACGCCGGAAAAAGAAAAAGAAAAATCACCCGGAGTCGACGAGGCGCCCAAGGACTTGAGCTACAAGAAGAGGGAGGAAGTGTGTCCACCATCAGAATCGCGCAGTCAGTGTGCGGTGACTTCCAGTTCGGATATACTCAAGTCCCCGGATCGGGATCTCCAGTTGCCGGTCAACTCCATACCTGCCGAAGTGGAGACCACCTCGGAAACCATTAAAAATCTCATTCTAGAGCAGTTCCTTAAGCTGAACAACAATCCTCAACAGGCGGAACCAATGGATCTGGGAAAGGCTGGGCGCGATGGAAAACTCGAAACGGTCGTAATTGATGACGAGGAGGAAGAAGAGTCCAGTCAGCCGCTAAAGAAACGACCCAAGGCCAGCATTAAGATGGATAAGGATCCAGACGCACTCACCCAACTGAAGATGCTGATAAACAATCCGCAATGGAAGGTTCCAGACCCAATACTCGTGCCAAAGGATCGCCTCGGAGCGGTGTTAGCCTCTCCGGCCCGAGAGATTCCATTGCTGCTCACTACTAGGCCGGAATTGCGTCTTCCCGAGGCATTTGCCTATCCAGAGATCATCCAGAATCCCAATATTCTGGTGGTGACCATGGAGCAGCTGGAGGCAATTTTAAAAACGGAATCGGAACAGGCGGCCAAAGCAACAAAAGACCCCGATCCAGTGATCGTGGTGCCAAGCAAAACGAGAAGTCCCAGTCCAAAGCAAACACAGCCAAAACCTGTGCTTGCCCAACCCCAGAAACCGCCAGCAGCTGCACCGGTTGCGCCAGCACCACCTTCGCCGGCGGATTCCAGTCTCTCAACGGATCTGAATGCAACAACGCTGGCGTTGCTTCAACAGATGCTTTGGCTACCTTACTTCGGCCAGTTGTCGCAGGAGTTCTTTAAGACTATTAAAGATCCACTGGGACTCCAAAGGAAGTTCATGAGCAATCTGCTGCCCTTGTACAACAGTCAGTTTGGTCTGCAGCATCTGGACGAGTTGTACAAGCAATGTATGAAACAAAAACCAGCAGAGGAGCAGCAACAGCCAAAAGTGCCCACTCCAGTGCCTCCAACAGCAGCAGCTCCTCCTTCTTCCCAGAGTACGGTTACAGGATCGAATGCTTTTAATGGCTTCACCAATCCGGTGGAGCTAGCCCTCATGCAGAAGCTGCTGCAGCCGCAATTGCCTCAGTTCCTTAACTGGGAGGCAGCTAAGGAGGCATCATCATCCTTACCCTCCGCCGCTTCTTCCACACATCATCATCATCAAGAGCTAAAGCGACCAAGAAGAGAAACCGAAACCGAGGCCGTTAGTACCTTCACCAAATCAAAGCCGCCATCCGCTACTCCAAGTACATCTACTTCATCCACCGCTGCCTCTGCACCGGTAGCCACAACAGCGCCTTCGGCTCCAGCACCGGCGGAGCACAAACCCAGACTGACCATCAAATCGCTCTCGAATTTGCTGGAACCGGAGGCAAACGTGGTACCTCTGCTCAATGTGCCCTTCGATGGAATTCGAGGGCGTCCTCCCATGCACAAAGCGGTTCCCGATCCGACCAAAGGTGACGTGGGAACCGGACGCACACTACGCTCTAGCAAAGCCTGCGTGACTTACAATCCTATCGAGCAGGCGAAGCAGCAAATGCACCAAGCATCTGGAGTCCAGCAGCAAAGGAAGCGGGGTAATATGCTTGCCCAGGATGTTCAGCAGCAGCAACATCTCGCGGATGCGGCGGCGGCAGCTGGAATGGATGCCAACTCAGCGCTGTGGCATCCACTTTTCGGAAGGTAAGTAACAAATTTCTTGAATGAAAATCCATATTAACCCATACCCTTTCTTTTCCAGCAATCCAAAACAGGGCTACAATAGCCCATGGCAGTGGACCACCGTGACAGCCTCTGGTGAATGACAGTCAAGCCGGGCTCAAAAGGAGCCAGGACCTGGAACAGGAACAAGGACGGCCAGCTACGAGGAGCAGCAACAGCAGGACTACAGCAACTATCATGCCACTGCTAAGCATCAGCAGCAACAGCAACCACAACTTCCAGCAGCCAACAATCAAAACCACAGCAACAATAGTAGCAATAAATTTTGTTATCCTACGGCGGCGGCCATGGAGAATATGTTCCAAAATAATCAGATGGCGGCCGCCGCCGCCGCCCGTGAATCGCTGCTAAATTCTTATCTATATCAGAAAGAGGGCGATGGCAACAACTACATGTCAGAGCAGAGCTACTGGCACCAGCAACAGCAACACCAACAGCAGCAACATCAACAACATCAACAGCAGCAGCAACAACAACAGCAACACCAGCAACAACATCAACATCAGCAACAACAACAGCAGCAGCAACATAAGCAACTCCAGCAGCAGCAACAACATCAACAATGGAGTGGGAACAACGGCAGCAATAACCAAAGGAGCAACAATTATGCCAACAACTATGCAGCGGCAGCAGCTGCATCTATGTACATGCAACACTTTAATCCCTACATGCAACAAAAGGCGGCGTTGCTAGCGGAGAAAGCCGCACAGGCGGCGGCAGCAGCGGCGGCGGTCCAAAACAGCAACGGGAGCAATAAGCACGGACGCTTTGCGGGGGACTACGGCTAGTGTCCACTGGGTTAACGGATGATCCAACCGGATCAAAAGCACTTGCAAATTAACATAAACATATAGGCATATATAACATGTATGTGTAATAATAACTATATATTTAGAGGCATCGTATAGGCCGTTTTACCGCCAGGAATTGGTAAAGGATAAACCACGATTTTCCTTTAATTTAATACACAGGAACAGCAACAACAAGGTAACCGAAAAGCAACAACAATAATTTATAAACAACAAACAAGGATGAAAACAAGAAAACAAAACAAAAAACTTAAATTGAATTAGTAAAAATTTGTTATTGGTAGTTTGTTAACAAAAATGAAAAAGCTAAAAAAAAACTAAAGTGAAAACGAGAAAAAAAAACATGAAAAGTAAACAAAAAATAATGTAGTAGAGCGACGAGAAAGCGAACGGCAAAAGAAAAAACCTAATTATTGTATTATTGTTAACCAAAATCTATTATTATTATTATCTCAAGCTGCGTTATATTATTATTATTAACTCGTGTGTCTGTATATAGCGTTTTTATCTAGATGTATTACACTTAGTGATCCCCTTCTTCATCCTAAAATCCCGCTCCTCTCTATCCTCCTTATCGCCAGGACAATCCTCGGACCCTTGACCTTTGATCCTTACCAAAAGAAAACAAAACAAACAAAAACCGCAGCGCTAAAAGGCAAACCAATTTTGTATTCATTCCGAAATGTTTTCTTTTTTGTTTTTTGTACTAGTTATTACGATGATTATTTATGAACACGATGGAAATGAAAATGGAAATCCCCAACACATGTGCAATCTAACATTTATGTTCTAGATACAAAAACCAAACACAAGAATCACAAAACTTATTAACGCGAAAATGGCAAAGCAAAAAGCATGAAACATGAAAATGGAAAAATAAAGAAACCCCTTTTAGAGAATTTCGCTGATAAAGGCAACAGAATAGCAAATATCTCAACCGACTTTTACTTTTTCACCAATGAAGAGGGTTTCAGTGGAATTGGTATACAGAAATGCTTTTGTATAAATATAATTATATTTGCTTTTCAAGTTCAGTGTATAATAGGCATATAAAAGTTAATTTCTGTATAAATACGCAACTTTTCACTTACAAACAACATTACATAATGTATTTTTTGTTTTGTTTTTCTTCTTTTTTTTTGTTTGTTAAACATTTAAATAGTTAGAACCACGCTTAAAGTAAGAGTTCCTTTCTAAGGCATTTGAAATGCGCGCGTGCGAATGTTTTCAGCTATGTAAATCTGTGTGTTTCTCAGTGGAAGTGTGTGCTCGGTATGGTTTCTTTGTTTCTTTGTGCTCCCAGCCGATCTCCAGCGATAAGACGTCGAATGGTCAATCTACTCGATCTGACGGCTGGCCTCCTGCAGGCGCGCCACCACGCCCTGGTAGAACTTAATCTGTTCGGCAATGAAATTCTTAAGCGTGTGCTTCAAATGCGTATCCCGCTCGCTCTTAAAGTGGGTCAGCTCAGCAAGAACCGTGTACGAGACAACATCCGTGCGCCGGTTTACGTCGTGCAGTTGGGGATTATTCATCTTACCCTCTCCGGCCAATCGTTCGCAGTCCTTACGCTTCTGAATGGCACCCTTGTGCGTGGAGAATATATCCGGAAAGCAATTGAGAACGCCCCTTTACGGGAAAAACAAAAAATCAAATTAGATAAGTGTTCTAGATCATTCTATATACAAATAGTGCAGAAGTTACTACATTTTCAAGAAGATTTATATTCGATTGCACATTAAAGGTCAGCAATCGAAACGAAAAGAGTCTAAAATAAACTATTGGCAACTAATTGATTTTTCTTGAGAAAGTATAGGTTTGATCAACCAGGTGTATTCTATATAATTGTTTACTACCTAAAAGTAAACACTTTCATTTGGTTAATTAATAAATAAAATTCAGTTTTTTATATGCCCTAAAACAAGAGTTATTTTAAGGGTATTTAAAAAATTATATATTGAGCCATAGATTTTCAATTGTGACTAATTCTGAGCAATTCTACTAATTGTCTATAGGTTTCCTATTTAAAAATTAGTCATGTCACACCCTAAGTACAAATACGACTTAAGGAAAGTTCGAAACATTTCTAAAAATGTAGTATTCTCATAGCTTTTTAAGACATCGACTCACCTGTAGATGTGTAGTCGATCAGAGAGAGGGATCCAATCATGTTTTGGTTGGTCGCCAAAGCCCTGGCCAATACCAATAAAGATGCCACCGATGCGACCGACGCTCTCGGAAAGCGGTACCGCGTTCCGGGTGGGTGCACGACGCTCGTCGATGGCCAATGCCTTGGCCAGGTCAGAAAGGCCGTCACCGATGCGCTGGAATTCCTTTTTACTCTGCGTCATTGAACGCTTGGCCATGTCGTTGGAAATATTGTTCAGGTTGCGTACGGCCACATCCATGCTATGGATGAACTGCGTACCAAGCTCCAACTGGGAGTCCACCTTCGAGTGCAGTAGATTCTTGTCCGGCGGCGAGATTGCCAAACAATAGTTAACTCCCATGTAGGGATCGCGCTCCGCTTTACGCTTGCCGGACTTCCAAATCTTTTCATCGCGGCAGGTCAAGAAATGGTACCATACCTCGCACTTGGAAATCACCGGATGGCGGCACACCCAGTCGACGAACTCCTGCAGCTGAACCCGTCGATGCTCCACGAATTGCTCTTCATAACGTCCGGATATCTGCTTGTCCGGCAACGGTGGCACGGGAATCAAACAGAACTTGTCCACCAAACGCTCGTGCAGCCAGTCGAAATGCTTGTAACGACGCGACACCTAACGAAAGGGAAACCCAGATTAGATATGACCAATTAATTGTGAAATGTGACATGGAAAGTGGAACTCGGAGTGGGGGGTCAACGGTTGGTGCTGACTCATTCCCTGCGGCGGTTCAAAAACAGAAGCAATCATCGCATTGCCGTTGGCTGCTAGTTGGTCAGAATTGCCCCAACAAAGAAGAATATTAAGTGTTTTTACGACTCTGTAATGCCCTACTTGGTTCTGTACCTCTTGAAAAATTGGAAAACTTGGCATTTCATAAAGCTTCGAGATTTTTGTTTTTATATTATTTTGTACTTTAAAATATGAGAAATTTCTAAGTTTTTTTTATGATTTAAAAAGAAAATTATAAAATTAAATAATATAATATAATATTTTAAACGAAGTTTTTACTGAAGAAGTGCAAAGTAGAGTCAAAAATATATATACTCCTCATTTGAATTCGATGTACAGAAAGGTCATTTTAGGGTCAATTCAGTTGGGAAATGTTGGCCGGCAATTAGTGCGGAGTTTCATTAAACAAAGGATTGGCCTTTCTTTCATTCCGTCAACGCATTGTCTTCCCGAAAGTACATAAACCAGCGCGAATTACCCTTGGCAGAGGGTAGAGAACACAAATATTATCAACAAAAAATTGCACCCGTAGTTACACACTTATACGGTCCGGGAGCTTTATCGTATTGTGTTGTTAATCACAGTGATATCAGCGGAGGCAACTTACGGATATATTGTTGAAGCTAGGAGTCAGTTGATATGCAATGAACGTCTTCATTCCCTTGAATTTTGACTCTTTTTTGGGGCTGGCTACTATAACGGAATAGGGCGAATGATTCTGCGTCCATTGGTAGATAGAGTCCTCCACTTGTGTGATGTAGGCCATCTCGCATTCTGGTATCTTCTCCTTGGGACTGGACAAACCGAGTATATAGGAATCGGAACTCTTGGCGAACATGCCCTTTTTTACGGTCCCGGCCGCACCAGTTCCACCAGCCACGGAGGCTAATGATTGGGTGTCGTCACTGGGTGCGATAGGTAGGTGTTTGTTATCGTAATCGCTGGTGGAATGCGACAATCCTCCAGCGCGTGCCGACTGCCCAGTGGACTTTTGGCCACCGGGACCAATCTCTGAGTACGTTTCGTTGTCATCGCTCCAATCGTCCTCGTCATCCCAATTGCTTCCATCGTCATCGGCCGTTTGATCGTAACGAGGCAGTGGGGGCGAGGCAAACGGATCCGGAACCTGTGGCACTGAGGTAGCTCCACTGGCACTCAATTTCTGGGCCTCTGCCGCCGACATCACCTCCACGTAGGCCGCCGGGAAGAGGCCAATCTGGCCCCGGGCGTTCTTTCCCTCCCACCAACCTTCACCCACGTCGCTCCGCGTCACCGAGAGTACATCGCCCGTCGCTATCGAAAGCTCCGAGGACCCCGGTTCCCCACTAAAGTCGTACATTGCGCGCACGTACGAGGTCATTTTGATCTCCTCCTGGTCGTTCCGTTCCGTTCCTTTTAGGCGAATTCGAATCCCGTGTTTACAGAGGCCATAAACAGACAAAAAAAGTAACCACTGAATCACCAAAGGCGGAGTGTGACCGCGCCTACAACTACGAAAATATACTGAAACTGACGTCTGCGTATGGCAATAACAAAGCTGGAACTTTAAAAGGGTTTCCCTTTAACACTTTTACGACAGTTGAATTAAAATTTTTACATTAATTATCAACTTTTGGCTTGTACTTTGATTTTCCTAAACTAAATCATTTTTACTAAACATTATTTATAAGATTTACAGTTACTCAAACGATCGGCCACTAAAATTATTGATAGGAATTCCCCTACCAAATAGAAGAAAACCCCAGGGCTACAAAACTCGGCTCAGCTGGCGATGTATCGAAATGCATCAAAGTATCGAGTTGGCATAAAAAAATCTGGTCTTCGTGTCGTGTTATTCATTCCTTAATTGCGCGTTGCTTTAATTTGTTGAGCAAAAAACGGAGCTCGGCGACATCGCCAGTTGTGCAATACCATTCCAGCGGTATCTGTAAATCCCCCTCTACTTGGAAAAACACTCTTTTCGGCTTCAAACTTGCAGATACTTCTTTACTTTGCCGTTTAAGTGTATTCGAGTATATTTTTAACGACCACAATGAATTTCCAGGCGAAATTCCTAGTCTTGTGCCTGTTTGTGGGTCTCTTCTCCGCAAATCTGTGCGACGAAGGTGAGTCTTGGATCAAATTAAATTGAATTGATATTAAATTGAAAACACGGAACATTTATTTCTTCAATTATGCACTCACATACACACATACATACACATACGACTGCATGTGCATGTGCGTACGTGTGCGCAAACACTTCTGTGTTGGAATATGTGTGTGTGGGTGTGGGGTTTTTAAATGCCAATTCCTATATTGAATATCATTCTCCGGCCATTTTCTCTTACCCCGATTGGGGGTAATGTTCTCGTTTGAATATAACAATTATAAACTTTCCCAAACTTAAATATTTCGAAGTTCAGGGGCTATAAATTCCACTAATTTTCTATTAGTTATCTGTCTATCTTTACCCAATAACAGTGTTTTAACCTAATTTCTGTGACAAATATTTTTTTAATATTGCTCATTTTTCTTTCTTTGTTTATAATGTTTTAATAATTTTAACACTATTTCTGTTCATTTGATCATATTTTCGTTAACCATAAATATAATATATTTTTCTTTGTAATCTTACAAATTGAATAATGACATTTGTGGTGCCCTTATCGTATGTGAACATTTTTTTTTATTTTTCGATGACGCATAAGAAATATTTATTTATCGTTGATAATAACTATATCAAGCCCAGTCTTGAATCCAAAGGGTATATTGTTCATTGAACCATATACCATATACCATGTACCTTCATTCCGAAAAAAAATATAAAAATGAAATCATTGTTTGCTATTTATGAAATCATTTCCACTTGTATCACAAAATAATTTTGTAGGAAGTATGGAACTCATTATCAAGCCCAATTAATCAATGCCAGTTCGTTTTAACATTTTAATTTAAAAGGGCTACCATGTCACTTGTTAGTTTATAATAATATTTACTACTACCACACTAGTTGCTTAGTTACGTACAGATATAAAAACATTTAATACACTTCCCTTGGAAAAATCTTGTCAATATAATGACCCCGAGCATACATACTCTTATATTTACGGTTTCCTTTGATTTGTATCTTTAGCGGCAGTAACTACACCGGCTCCGAACAGCACGCCTGATTCCAAGATCACCACTACTGCGCCCCCGGAAACTACCACACCTACGACTACACCGCCGCCGACCACTACAACTGAGAAGACAACTACGACACCGGCATCTACAACAACTCCGGCAACAACAACTACGCCTGCTACGACAACCACTCCGGCCAGCACCACAACTACTACAACCACCACCACCACCCAGGCTACGACCACAACTCCTGGTACTTCGACCACTCCGCCTACAAACTCGACCACAACTACGCCGCCGCCACATACATCGACCACTCCGGCGCCAAAACCTGTGCCGTGCGGTCATTTCGATGGATCGTCGTTCATCGGCGGGATCGTTCTGACCCTGGGCCTTCTGGCCATCGGATTGGTGGCCTACAAGTTCTACAAGGCTCGCAACGATCGCAACTACCACACCCTTTGAGCCGCCACAGCCTTTACGTCGGCCTTCAACGCGGCAGCCGGAGCGGCGGCGGCCAGCAGCAGTGCCGCATCAACAGATGCGGAGCGCGTGCGGTTCGTCCAACCTTCGATACCGCTAAGGTCGCCGCCGGCGCAGCCGCCGCCACCGCCACCTAACCAAATGGGTGGCAGTGGGGGCGGTGCGGCGGCAGCTCCACAAAACTGTTCGCCATCGGCCCGGGATCGGCTGTTAAACACGTAATTTAAACGCCGGGAACACATTCAATATTACCCAAAATAACTGCTATCCAAAGAGATCCCCGGTTCCCAACAATACATACACACACACACAGAAAACAGTCAAGTAAAGTCAGTTCTTAAATTCAAACGATAACCCCCAGAGCGGATTTATTGTGGGCTCAGATTAGCAGGAGCAGGCTCTACACTCTTGAATACTTTCCTTATCAGCCACATGACCCACGCCACACATTCACCCACTCTGAAAAAACAACAAATATTTGTCTTTTTATGCATTGCATCCATAAGTAAGAGTACGTTTTTGCAAACATTATTTTATCAGCAAATTGAGCGGATGTTCAACGCCTTATAGAGGAGCCCTCGGAGCCTGTCACAGGGCTTCCAAGGGTGACCATGAACAGAGAAATGAGATCGTAACGAAACGAGAGGAGTAAGAACAAATAACAGCAAATATGTGAGACTGCTTGATAGCGAGAAAGTGAACAGAACAGAAAATGGAAAGCGGCTGGCGACGGCTTTGTTTCTGGAATTCATAGAGCTACGAAAGGAAATATAAATTTTGATTATATTTACACAATTTTGAATAACAAAAATTAATTCATTCTAGGAACTAAGAATATTTACTACCTTAAACTGAGCTATACAAAATGGAAACGCGTTTCAATATCTCCATTTAATGTGCATTTCTTCTTTTTTTGTTTGTTCCTTCATTAAACTAACATTTGCTGCGTTTTTCCTGGTCCTCGCCCACTTTATCTATATATTGATTCACCTCACCCCACTAACCCTGCGGTTTATAGTATTGCAAAAAAATCAATAAAGCGACTCACGATGCACAGCAACAGGATTACGATTTGCGGTGTACGGTTAATATGCGTTTGTATGCAATATAAACGTATATATATAAATATAAAGCTGGAGTAGATTGCAACCTGAGGTAGACCCATGTTAATGCATATACGCAAATGTTGAATATTTTGTACAAGGATTGAAACTATACATATGAAATACTTTTACCTACCCGCGCTTACTGTTAAATAAATACACTTTTGAAGCTACAAATCGATCACATGAACCCGTCAAGTTTTCGCGAATGAACACTCTTTGCACATGAAAATCTCATAAGTATATAAGCTAAAGTAACCAATCAATGTATATCCAGTAAATCACTCAGCCGGCTTACTAAAAATATATATATATATAAATATATCTATGTCTGTATATCGTGTACGATAATAAATATTTTAAAAATTTAAATTGGACAGTTTTAATATTAATTAAAATGGGCAGCCAGTTTCTCTGAACCTCTTTTTTTTCCGGAACAAAATAAAACTCAATATATGTAATATACATATGTTTGGTTTAAGACCTAAGTAATTGTCAAAATTGGAAAATTTTATTTAAATTAACGTTAACGATGTTCTATTGTTCACTTAGTTTCTTTAACTTTTTCGGTGTCTTAATGTTAGGGATCTTTTCCTTGGGCGCCTTCCTCTTCAGATTTTCTTTCTGCTTCTGCTGAGTCTTTATTTCTGGTTTCTTAATTTTAAGGGTATCCCCTTTAACCGTTTTTGACTTTTCATTATCATTTTGTTTTTGCTTCTGGGCAGTTTTTTCGGGGGATTTCCCATTCTCCGCCTTAAACTTCAGCTTATCTTTCGTTGTCCGCTTTTTTTTTTGAGTGTTGAAACGCAGTTGCAGTGGCGTGCCCGCTAGACTGAACTTTTGTTTGATGACCTTGCGTGCATCGTGGGTTGTTGGCAGGGTTACGGTCGCAGCACTGTAGTCACGGAATTTTCCCTTACCCGGACGTATTTGAATGTCCACCGCCTCCTGGAACAGCTGGCGCACCTGAGCCACCGAACTGGTCTTCGGTAGATTGGTAATGACCACCGACGATGTAAAGTTTCCCTTGGCCAGCACCTTCTTTGTAGCTCGTTTCATCAGGGTCTTTGTGCGTTTTTTCTCCACCGATGTCTGTTTGCGGGACACTAGCTCATTAACGAAATCATCGGAATCGGTCTTGGGCAGGGATACAAATATTCCCTTGTATTTTTCATCCTTTTCGATGGATGCTTTGATGTCCTTAAAGCCCTGGTCGCGATCTTCCTTGGACTTGAAGTCCACCAGGCAGAAGCGGGCGTGCTTCTGGCGAGGCTTTGTCGATTTTAATACAAGTGGATGCAGAGCCTTCACCTTGGCATTGAATTCCTCCAAGTCTAGGGGCAGTTTCTGGGGAAAACGGACGTACAGTCGAGTGCCTTTCAGTTGCTCGTACTTGGTGTGAATCTGGTGGTCGATAATCTCGGCACGACTTTTTGGCTCGGGCTTGACTTCATCCTCGTCATCATCATCGGACTCGGTGGAACTGGCATCGAGATCCAATTCGGATCCATCGAACTCCTCGTCTTCCGAGTCGTCCGCCTGCAGTTCCTCTTTGTCAGAGTCTTCTTCCTGCAATTCTTCCTCTTCTGAAGCTTCGGAGTCCCCTGTCAGCAATTCCTCTTCCTCGGATGCACTTTCCACCTGTTTTTTCTTCATGTTATAGCGGATAATTATATTGTTTTCTTTTAAAATTCAGTTTGCACGTGTATACTGCAGTGTGACCAGATCATGACTTTGAGAAATGTATGATGCAAATTTTGTAGCCAGAATCGGTGTTGCCAATGTGGCTACAAAAAGAAGCACCACTATAAAATTTTCTTTTATTTACTTTTTTGTAACCGCAACATGGAAAAGGAAAATACATATTTTTGGAATGAATTTGAATTGAAACAACCTCCTTTGGTGACCCTGCAAATAGAGGACACGGGCTTTGGTAAGTTGCAGCCGTTGTCACGAATGTTAAGTACTTTAACAATCCTTTATGTACATCTACCAGCCAAGGACGTGTATGTGGCCATCAACAGGTTCCTGCAACAATTGTCCGAACCGGATGCGAAGGATTTCGAGGAGACGGCAGCGTTGATTGGAAGGTTGAAGGCGCGCAGAAAGAATTCTTTCCGAAATATGCCAGGATTTCGGGCTGTCTGTAAACTAAATTCCGCAGTGTGCCGCCTGCTCCGTTTGGACTTGGCGAGGGATCTAGAACAGTTTCGAGGTGCTTTGCCAGATGTGTGCGATGAAGATTTGGGCGGAGCCATGCCCACGCAGAGCAGCTTTAAATTTATATTGGTGCGGATCTTGGGTTTTTATCATCTCCACGAGCGAATCAGGGAATGCTGTCTCGCAGCAGCCACATATTTCACGCAACTACTGCGAAACAACTTTTTCATGGACTTTACCACGCTGCTAATCGCCGCTATTGCCAAGATCAACAAACTAAGTTCATTACAAAGCAACAAGAGCGTCATTCTATATAACAAGCTGCGCCCACAAATAACAAACTTTCCGCAGGTGAATAAGCACAAGTTTCTGGCGGATAATCAACAGCTTCCAGCTAAACTAGAACTTCTGAAAAGACCACTTGACCAAGAAAAGGCAGTCAAGGCACAGGATCTAGTCTTGAAACCCACAAAGGTTGTGACCAAAGTAGAAAAAGCCAAGCTGGAAGCCAAAGCTGATGTTGGCACTGTAATAGCCAGAAAAGAAATACACACTCAAGTTGTAACTAAAACGAAATTTAATGAAGATGTTTTAGCCACTGTCGTCGAAGCTCAGAAATTCATTTCCCGCGAATCCGAAGCCAGAAAGCAGAATTCGGAGAGTTGCTTGACCAAGAAAATACCAAAGCACGAGTGGTTAGCCGCGCAAACTCTGTTCCAGCGAAAGATGTCGAAGGATCCAGCAAAGGCATTAAGTATATTTCGCAAATTTATTGTAAGCAAAATAAAGTAACTTCACATAACTTGGATAAGACATGATAACGTTTAGATATACATCTTGATGACTAAAATTATAAGCAGGTTACCATACCATCAACCAGCTTCAAACTCTTGAGAGCTACAATTCGCTTCTGGGGATGAGGATTGTTCGTCTAAGGGGAGATACATATTTGTTGGAACTTACGAAATTGAATTTTCATGTAATACTTACCTTGACAAACTTCTTAAAGTTCTTACGCCCTCCGTACTTGCTCACAGAATCCTGAAGTGAAGCGTCCAGATCCTTTTCAGTGCGATTGACAATATTCATCTGGCACATGCGCACCTGAATGTTGTCTTGCATGGCGGCTAGCCACTTCTCTTCGTCGGGATCTGCTTTAATTGAGGATTCCAGCTTAACTTGCCGATCTGAATATGCCTCGTGCTTGACATCATCATGTAGCCTGCTACAAGATAACCAACCACTGATATCCACTTTTTTGGGCAGCTCCTTCCGCTGCACCACTATGTATTTTGATTTATTTTTCTTGTCCAATTCCGGTAGAAAGGGTTCAGTGAGCACGGAGTCTTGGTCAACGGCACTACTTGGTCTTTCCGAGTTAAAGTTAAACAGGCCATCGGTGGAATCTTCCATATTCTGTTCCTTCTTTTTTCTTTTACTGTCAGCAAAGTTAAAAGGATTTTCACAGTCGTCACTGTCACTTTCGCTAAGGACTTCCAGATGCAAACGTTTACGAGGTTGCGTTTGGGATTGGGACGATACTGGGGGGGTTGGCTCCTGCGGCTGGGATTTTTCCAGAAAGTTTATTACACTTATTCTGGCTGACAGTTTTTCCTTGCCAACTGATTGCGTCACAGCCGCCTCCGATGACTTTTTTGGAGTTTTCCGGAACTGGAACAAATCCTCATTATCATCTTCGTCATCTACAGCCACAGGTAGAACAGGACCTTTGGCTGGTATTGACATCTTTTCCGTCGGTTTGTTAGTAATATTTGTAGCTACAGATTTAGTATTGAGACGTGGTGATATCCTGGTGACACCTGACACTTCTGGATTCTTTTTGGAAGGGATATTGATAACAGGAGCTTTTGCTTCCTTTGGCTCTTCGGAATTTTTGTTTTCCTCATCTGAAGAATCTATGCAATAGACGGGCTTGACCGTCTCTGCCTTGTGCTTATTTGGAGCTAGAACAGTTGGTTCTACGGTTTTCTCATCACAGATGACCTTGCTTCGCCTTGTGATACGTTGATTCGAACCAGGAACTGGAGCTGGTGGTTTTACAGCTTCTTCTTTTTCAGATGAATCCATCAATGTGGAGCTCTTGGCATTTTTATTAACTTCCTTGGCGGTGCTTACCGGTTTGGATCTCTTTGACGAAGCTGCATTCTGGTCCTCATCCGAGGAGTCAACTATTATGGCATGGCCTCGCTTACGCACAGAATTTGTAGATGTTTGAGGTTCTGAAATGTGTTTGGAAACCTCTTGTGCCACATCGCACGCTTCCGACTCGGGCACTACTAGTTCTGAAATGACTGGACCACTGGATTGGGCGGAACTACGCTCAGTGTTGGGCACAATGATCGATGAATTAAAGGCCATTGAGGAAGTTACAGATTCCGTGGTAGGCATTGAATCGGAGATTATGAATTTGTGCGCTGGGTTGCAGAACTCTTTGATGGAGCAATGTATCAAGGCCATGCCAATCTCGTACTCTTGAATAATGCGCCGACCACTTTGCTCCAAAACATCTAAGTAATGAATTTAAATGAATGAATTTTAGAGATTTGAATATTATTCAAAAACCTACCTTGAATGCTATTGATCGATTCAGTGGCCTGAGACTGAGTTGAAGGAACATACTGAATAACTATCACGTCACTCTTGGTGAGGAATGTTTTGCGCACACCTGAATTTATATCCTTACAAGATGCGCCAGCTTTCTGTACAACTGATCCGTACATTTCAAAATGTTTCCGATTCATGAAAATGAAAATCTTGCCGGCAAAGAGTCGGGTCCGTTCGGGACGCCAGGTGACATCCATATTGGTCGGCTGGTAATCCTCTGGCTGTGGCCATCCCTCTTTGACATGTATGCTTTGTGCAGCCTGGAGCAACTTTTTCCAGTAAGCAAAGGTCACGATCGGTTTGTTATCCAACATAGCGTGCAGGAGTTTCACGGTTACCGAGGCTTCGTTCATAGTGAGATGAGAGCATTCACTGGTCCAGTTTGAACTTATAATTCCACTCATGGGCTTGACCATCTCCGCCAGCTCCTCTATCTCATGTCGCGTCAGAGCGGACACACTAGTGACCAACTTTAGACGGGTCACTTGCCAAACGCTTAAGTTTGCGCCAAATCTTACGCGAATTCCCACAGGCAATGGAGTCATCGTTTTGGAATTAACTTTCCGTGGTCTTGTTGAGTTCCTGTTGAAAATGAAGGTCCCATATCTGGATCCAAGGTCCTCCATTTGCAGTGTGTCATCGTCCCCATCTCCCGGGAGAACAAGTTGCACATGATTGCGACTTATACTGAGATCCTGCGAAACAATCAAATCCGTGGCAAGGCGACCAACGGTGTAGATCTTTTTAACTGGCAACAAAACAAACTTTTCCTCATCTGTTTAAAGTTATTATAAGTTAGTAAATAACTAAGGTTTTAGACAGTTTACTCGCCTTTAGTTAAAACAAACATAATTTCACAACAAAAAAACCAATAACATAAATTAAATTAATGTGACCTTAGCATACTAAAAGGAAACAAAATTTAAACAAACAAAATTATTTTTGAATCGAATGATTAATAAATTAGGAAATTAATAACGGGTTAAACACACTATTCCATTTAGAAGAAAATGGAACTAGGTAATAATCAGGATCAAAACTCAAGTGAGGCTCTAAGCTTCAGTAATTTAAAATAATGTGGAGTTCCCCAATTTTAAGGCGGTTAACTATCGATGCAGTAAAATATCGTAGTTCCCTTTGAATGGCCAAACTATTAAGAAGAAGCATTGGTCGCCGGTTAGTGTATTGTTTCTTTAAAAACAAAAACAGAATAGTTTTTATTTAACGTCGCCCTGGTAAATGTGAATAAGGATACTTATAATCATGGCTCACCTGACCGGCACCCGCGTGAGCACTTTTAACGAAAGCTTCCTGAACGAAAATGAGCACGATTCGAATGCGGTGCTCATGGAACTGGACAAGGGGTTGCGGAGCGCCAAGCAGGGAATCCAGTGCGAGGCGATCGTCCGTTTTCCGCGACTCTTCGAAAAGTATCCCTTTCCCATTCTTATCAACTCATCGTTCATCAAATTGGCCGAGTTCTTTGTCAGCGGATCGAATCTCCTGCGATTCTGGGTGCTTCGTGTTTGTCAACAAAGCGAGAATCATCTTGACAAGATCCTTAACATCGACAATTTTGTGCGCCGCATCTTCATGGTGATGCACTCCAATGATCCAGTGGCGCGTGCTCTCCTTCTGCGAACCTTGGGAGCCGTTTCTCGGGTGATTCCCGAGAAGCAACAGGTCCACCATGCCATTCGCCGTGCTCTGGATAGCCACGACACCGTAGAAGTGGAGGCAGCTATCTACGCCAGCAGCTGCTTTGCCGCCCAGTCCAGTTCGTTTGCTATCAGCATGTGCGCCAAGATCTCGGATATGATCGAATCGCTGCAGGTGCCTGTGCCGATGAAGCTGCTCCTGATACCTGTGCTGCGGCATATGCATCACGAGGCCACCACAGCTTCGCTGGTCAGCAGGCTGTGCATGGATCTTCTGCCAAAGTATCCAGCCCAGAGCTTCGTTGTGGCCATTATAGACACACTTACCCAGTTGTCCTCCCGAACATTGGTGGGTGTTCCCGGACAGCTAGATGTTTTACTGGATTTCATGCAGGACTTAAGGACTCCCGTGCGCATCCAGGTACTGCGCTCCTTCAATGAGCTTGCAGGTCGGCAAAGTGTTCATGCTTGGCCCAAACCGGCTATTGAAGCACTGATTGGTCGATTTGAGTCATGTACCAACTCCCAGGAGCAGTTTCTATTTCTATCAATCCTGCTCAAGCTCAGCAAATGTCCGCTAACCTGCCAGCAACTTCTTCGTGAGCATCGAGTGGCTCTGCTTCGTTTGTGCGTACAGTGCATTAGCAAGCTGGACGACTACACAACCGCCACTCAGGCCATGGCTGTTCTATCTGTTTTAGTGGCGTTCGGTTTGAAAAAGGAGGGCAACAGTGAGCAGGTGGAGGACATTCTTCACATAGTTAATCTTCACATGGAGGGCTTGCTCCTCAGCACGGCCAAGCGGGCGGAGAGCACTCGGGATCTGAGAAGGGTGCTTACATACGGCATACGAATTACTCAGGCAAATGCTGAATTTGGAACCTCGTTCATTGAAATCGTGACAAACACTTTAGGTGATAAGGTGGTCTATCCGCCGGCCAATGCGGAACTCATGTGCGAGGCACTGGTGGGTCTCTGTGAGCACTTCCAGTTAAGGAAATATGCGTTCTCAACTACAGAAGAACTAATAGGAGATGATAACGCCATGGACACCGACGAACCTCCTCCACCTAAGGTAATTATATCTTTAAAAACTTTTTGAATGCGAACTTATACATTTTAATGATAGGTTAATCCCATGCTGGCCCGATTACCGCTTATCCTCCACAAGCTAAACACCATTATCGACCAAGAAAATTGCGAGCAGCAGTTGCGTACCGTGGAGATCTTGAGTGCTTTGGTGCTTCAGACCACCATGGGCTGCTATCTTCCCTTAAAAGTTGTGCAGTGTTTTGAAAAGTGTCTATGCAGGCTTAATTGCTGGACTCTTTACAGGATTGCGCGAACCGCTAGTCGCTATGGTCACCACTATGTGGCTGCTCATATATACACAAAGGTCTCCCAGATTGTGATTAGCGATCATATGCATTATTTCCTGGTGGCCCTGTCACAGATTTCTCAGGCGGAGTGCATTCTCAACTATGGCTTGGACTACGCTTACATGCGAGATAATTATGCACCAAAAGTGGCACCAGAACCTCTGATGCCCCTGATGAAACGTTTGGAGATGGCCAGTAATCTCTACCAGCAAGCGCTTGCAAGCTTGCGAGCTTGTTCCTCACCCCAGCATCCTTGTAGCTTTCAACTCGAGTATTTAAAGATTCGGGCACAGTTTCTGCAGACTCTCCACCTGGCAGTGACCGTTAAGAATGCTCAGGTGATTGTGCCACCACCGGCTATAGCTGGAAGTTTGGCTCAAAACTCACGGGATTATCTCCAGAAGTTTGGTCATGTAACAAATCAGCTGCGTAAGCTGGTTAAATCACTTAAAGCCTGTGAGGAGACTTATGCCAGACTCTACAAGTCCTCTTTCGATGCGGATCATGTAACGCTGGAGTTCCTTGAGGTGGCTGAATTCCAATGTGCTCTATTCGCTCACATCATTGAGTCGATTTCCTATGCCACCCCGCCGGAACCACCTGTTTTTCTTACTACAGGAGATCACCCGGAAACGCGCTACTTTGCTGCGAGCTGCCAGCGCATGGAGCAGATGCAGAAAAACCTTCCCCAGGAGCCGGCAAATGCCAAGACTATTAGCAACCGTCATTTGGATGTTATTATAGCGCAGATCGAGATCATAACGTTAACACCGCTATGCCTGCCACGGTACTTCTTCCAGATCCTCCAGTCCACACAGATCAAGCTATCAGTGAGTCCGCAGCCAAGAAGCGCAACCGAACCGGTGAATGTCCAGTCGGGCAGTAACCTGGTGATCAAGGTGGAAGGTGTTCTGCAACATTTTAGCAAGCAGAAAAAGCACTTCCGACGCGTGGAGTCTGTTCAATTAAGCCTCACATCGCAGTTGATCACGCCACCACCCCGATCCTCACAAGATATGCCCAAACCGGGTGCCAACGACAATGTGACCCTTAATCAAATTGTGAAGCCGCAGCGCGATTTCCTTTCTGGCAGCTTCCTGCTGCCTATCTCAAGTGGCGGGCACTTCCAGGTGACGTTGGAAACATTTGTGGTAGACGAGAACGGAATCACCTGGTGTACTGGGCCAAAGTCGTCAATGATGGTACGGGTGCTGGAGGATCCCACCAAGCAGGGCGCGCCAGCGCCAAGCACTTCCCAAGCGGTTGGACAGACGAGGAGGTTTTAAACCATAGCCATAGCCTTAAAATCGTAAATTTGTTTAAATAATAATGTTAATTAACAAATAAATCTGTAGGGATACGGACATAAAACTTAAATGTTTATAAAAAATATCAGTTAAGTTTTATTAAAAAATGAAAATTAACATTTCAATTAAAATTAATTTTGAAATTTTTAATCCCAATTGGAATAGTTCATCCTAATCCTACTCGCAGGCGATATATCGATACAATCGTTTAGTATATTATAAAGGTCCGGCTACGGTCTCACTAATGCTGATTTGTTTTCATTATTTCTTTTTGGCTTGGCGAATAAATTAGGACAAATGAGGCATCTTTGCGGACGATGCGTATTGTGACCAGCGGGCAGCAGCAGAAGCATGCGACACCTACACCAGCGGAGCAGCACCACCTGGCCAGCGTTGTAAGGGCATCCCTGTAAAGCCACGGATACCACCTGATACCGATACCTAAAACCAAAAGCAGCGGAGCACCCGCAGCCGAGAGCAAGTGGTTCCTACACCTTCCCCGACACCTTCCCCCCTCTGCTCCACCTAAATGTAAATTTTAATTGAAGCCAATTGAGCGCACACCCGAAAACACGCACCAAACCAAAAACGAAGCCGTAATCAAACTAAAATACTCATTCGGAGAAGCCTCTCTTGGACAAGATACCGCGCTTAATCTGTTCAGGCGACAGCAACGGTGGTGGTGGTGCAATAAATGGACATAATTGCTCTAATTGGACAGAGCAGCAGCAGCAGCAGTGGCAGTGGGAACGTCAGTGGGATCGGAGGAGCATCGGCACCAGCAGCCCCCCGGACAATAGGATGGCACAATTCACACTGTGAGTATATATATCTTTTTGGTTATCAGTCGGTTGCGCTGCACCACATGGATTTCCTGCTTTTGCGGACCCTTGTCATTGGAAGCTTTTGTTTATCTATTGACGCCGCTTTGCGGTATTATGCAAGTGAATTCGGTGTTTGGGGTTTGGGGACTTAATACATATAGATCATGAAACATTATCATATCATTGCGAGCATTACAGCTACAACAAACACAGTTCGCCGCCAAATAGCGACAGTACGCGCGTGGACTGTGAACACGTACCGCTGTGCTCCATTAACGACGTGCAGCTACGATTTCTGGTACCCGATGATTTGACGGAGGTAAGTAGATCAACCAGTTAATCCAGATAATCTTCCCATTTTGCATCTACATGTGATGACCCTAAACAGGTGCGCCAGCTGTGCCAAGAATGGTTTCCAATCGACTATCCACTATCATGGTATGAGGATATTACCTCAAGCACGCGCTTCTTTGCGCTGGCGGCTGTATATAATCTGGCCATAATTGGTTTAATCGTTGCCGAAATCAAACCCTATCGAAATGTCAACAAGGAGGTAATAGCCAATATGAGTGATAGTGATGAGTTGTACACCAGGCTGAGCGGTTTTCCAATGCAGGACAAGGGCATCCTGCCGGACTCGATGGGCCGTTCCGCTGATGTCGGATATATACTGTCGCTGGGCGTTCATCGATCGCATAGACGCAATGGTATTGGATCGCTGCTTCTGGACGCGCTAATGAACCATCTGACAACGGCCGAGCGACATTCGGTAAAGGCGATCTTCCTGCACACGCTGACCACCAACCAACCTGCCATATTTTTCTACGAAAAGAGAAGGTATCTGGGGCGGGGTTTCCCTTTGCGTGTCCTTGGTCTATTAATCGAGAGTCCCATTTGTTGCTTTCAGATTCACGCTTCACTCATTCCTTCCCTACTACTACAATATTCGGGGTAAGGGCAAGGACGGATTCACTTATGTGAACTACATAAACGGCGGCCATCCACCCTGGACACTATTATATCCTTTTCAAAAATACGTTTACTGTCTAGCTTGTCTTGTTCTTCTTTTTATGATTTCTTTGTACTTTTGGTTGCCCTCTTAACTCTCTACTGCACAGATCACATCAAGCACTATGCGTCGAAGGTGCGGCACACCAGCAGTCTGTGTGCCTGGTTGGCCGGTCGAGTCCAGCAGGTGTTGCGGTGGTTCTATCACAAGCTGCTGACCCGCTTTAACTTCATCGAGTGAAACGATTCGAGGAGGACAACAGCACAACTGGCCAAGCATCCGCATCCTTCCGAGAAACAAACACTTCGTTGGCGATGATGAGTGTGTGTCCACCGCATTATGTCATCCCGTCGTCAAGCATAAACAAAAACACATTTATATGTACACTTGCAACCAATCACCACACATAGACACACACCTTCATTATAAATGTTAGGCAACACACCTCCGCAGAATCATTACGTTTTTATACGAAAAAAAAAAAAATGAGAAAGAGATCTAGCAAAGAACAACATCAAAGGCATAAGTTGAAAGTTGTAACATATTTCGATAAGGGTATTATTACGTTTTAAAAGATATCTATCTGTTCACTGCTGTAAATAGTCTTGCGATGTTTTTTGTTTGAAATGCTGTAACCGAGTGATTTGGAATAACCCCTTTCTTTTGAATGCAGTCCCCTGTTTAGACCGTGTGTATGTTTTTTTCTTATGTTTTAAGTTCTACGCACAAGACAGTCATTTAGTTTAGCGACAACTAACAACAAAGATGCTCATGCTTTAATGCTTAATTTATGAAATCTGCACGTAAATAGCTTTGAACTGAGAAACCAATTAATGTTATATGGCAAAACCAGTTAAATTGAATACCCAATACCCAATACCAACCACTAAAAAGATAAACATTTGAAATCAAACTCTGTTCGCTGTTTCTATAGTATTTTGTAAAAGTATTTTAATGCATATTGTTTCGCAGCTAATTCTGATTACTTTAGGCACAATTTATCTAGCAAATTGTAATATTTTTAAAAATAAAAACTTGTGAAGTTAAGACGAGGTTTTATTTTGTTTTTATTTTTAAGAAATTTATAATGATTACAAATTTATATTAAGTCAATTGAAATTCAACGGTCATTATAAATTTTAAGAATTTTACTTTAGAATTTTGTATTACAATTTTTTGTATTACATTTTTTTTGTAAAAATAATAAAACAGACAAAAATTTGATTATTTATAAACACAATCTTACGTGCTAAGCCCCCAAGAATATTTCAAAATAAAATTGTTTAAAAAACCGAAAGTTAAAGATAAAAATAAATGTTATAAAGCATACTTTTTGTTTAAGTTTTTATTTTAGAAATTCAAAAGTTGAGCCCTTTGTCAGTGTTGCAAAACAGTGTGGCATAGCGCTAAGCTTCCAGTTGATCTGGCAACTCTCTCCTAACCTGTCACTATTGTGAACTGGCGATTTCGGGTCAATTTAGTAGCATAAATTCGTCGCAACTGCCTGCAAAATGTTCTCGAGAGCCGCTCTTCTTACAGGTAATCCCGTAAAACTGTGCAAAAAACATTGACAATTAATATGTTATCATAAATGTGACAATGGACAAGTGAAATTCCTCACGCAAATGACCGTGAAAAATGTTACGGCATTGCAAAGTCGTCGGACATCGTGGTTTATGTAATCACCCATTCGCAATGGATACGTCAAAAAGCATAATTTTCGCGAATACAAATGGAGTTAAACTAATTGGGAACTGCATTTACAGCCCAGCGCCCCTTGGCCGTGGCCGCCACCCGGACGGCCGCCTCTGCCGCCGCTCCCAGTGGAGCCATTGAGCGCCGCCAGCGCCCCGAGAATCCCGGCAAGGTCCGATTGGGATTCCTGCCCGAAGAGTGGTTCCAGTTCTTCTACAACAAGACCGGTGTTACTGGACCCTACACCTTCGGCGTGGGTTTGATCACTTATCTCTGCTCCAAGGAAATCTACGTCATGGAGCACGAGTACTACAGCGGCCTGTCGCTCGGTATCATGGCTGTCATCGCCGTCAAGAAACTTGGACCACTCATCTCCAAGTGGGCTGATGGTGAGATCGATGTAAGTACAACAAAAATATTTTTAAGAAACAACCGAACTGAATTCTAAAACCATGAAACGAGGATTTTTGAAAATTTGATTTTCCATTAAGATTAGAATTTGATCTTCGGTCTATGCCTAAAAAAAGCTGTGGGACCTTTTTTGCCTAATTATAAAAACTTTGTACTAGAATTTTATATTAACATATTTTTTAGTTTTAAAAAACCTTAATAACAATCATTAATTGGTCCAATCCATATTCCAGAAAATCGAATCTGAGTGGAAGGAGGGTCGCGAGGCCGAACTGAAGGTCTTGTCCGATGCCATCGAGGCTGAGAAGAAGGAGCAGTGGCGCGCCGATGGTGCCCTGCTGCTGATGGAGGCCAAGAAGGAGAACATTGCTTTGCAGCTTGAGGCCGCATTCCGTGAGCGTGCCATGAATGTCTACTCGGAAGTGAAGCGCCGTCTCGACTACCAGGTGGAGTGCCGCCACGTCGAGCGTCGTCTCAGCCAGAAGCACATGGTCAACTGGATCACCACCAACGTGTTGGCCAGCATCTCGCCCCAGCAGGAGAAGGAGACCCTCAACAAGTGCATCGCCGATCTGAGCGCTTTGGCCCTGCGCGTCAAGTCTGCCTAAACGATTCGAGTTTTAGTTGTTTAATTGTAAATTAAAACCCATTCGAGACGCTGGACCTATGAATATACCCGCAAGATGATTAATCGATCTAATATATCTTCAAAATGTCCGTGTCTGAAAAGATCCTTTTGTGCAATTTTGCTTTATATTTAAAATGTTTTTGTTTGATTTTAAGAGAGTTTTGTGTCGATCACTTGGTGTGATATTGAATGAAAGTTTTGTGAAGTGAAGGTTTAGCTTATCCTAGGGCTAATAAGGTGGACTAACAAGATAATTTGCTTTCTTAGGGTTTTTATTAAATCCTATAGGGTAATATGATTATCATGAACTTTAAAAATGTATTCTAATAGAATTCCATAAGTTTTTAAAAGCAATCAGTCTTGTGCTGCACTGGCATCGTCGTCAAAGGCATCTGCCTCTACCTGTTCCCCCTGGAAATCTCCTAAAATTCCAAGTCTTCGAACTGCTTGCAGATTTTGAATACAGTAATCCACATTAGTCACAATGCAAAGGGGTCGTTCACCCTTATAGTAGCCCGTATTTTCCCGTAGATAAACAACATCCCTGGTGGCTAACCATTGTTGTAGTTTCACAAAACAAGGACACTGCCAAGGATTGCCCTCAATGGATACGCGTTTCAGGTTTGGGAAGCTCACATTCACCTTTGCCAGAAAGGTAAGGCGATTGTTATCCACCAAGATCTCTTGTACGCTACTAAGGCTTTCCAGCACATCCAGGTTGATCTCTTCCAGTAGATTGTGGCCCAAATGAAGCTTCTGAAGACGCCGCATGGGTGCAAACATCCGCACATCTAAGGATTTTAGTTCGTTGTGACCCAACCTTAGGTATTCCAGAAATGGCAGCGATGAGAAAGCCAGAGGATGTAGGTACTTCATACGATTTCCATTCAGATTTAGCCGTCGCATTCGTAACAAGGTGTTGCTTCCAAAGATTTGCTCTTCCAGGAATTCTAGGTTATTGTACGACAAGTCCAATGTGTCGAGGTTCAACAGGGCGGCAAAGGTTCCCGATTTGATTTCTAGGATAGCATTATACTGCATATATAGCTTTCGTAAAGAACCCAATCCCACAAAATGACCGGGACTTAGGCTGGCAATACTGTTCCTGGACACATCTAGCATCTGTAATCTGGCCAGCACACGAAATTGATTGTCAAACAGAAGGCGTATCCGATTACCTGACAGATCTAGCTGCTGCAAATGCAGTACAAAGTTTTGCACCGCTCCAAATACATTCGGACGGAGTGCATCAAGAGCGTTCTGTGAGAGGTTTAGTATTCGCAGTTGGGAAAGTGGCTCAAAGGTTTCCTGGCCAATGGTGTTTAACCTGTTACCGCTGAGCTGGAGGTTTAGCAGACCATGGAGTCCGCGAAAGGCGTTCAGGTCCAACTAAAAATTAAATATAGAATTTATTATTATTAATTTTATAATTCCTTTTTTAAAATCAGTCGTTTTATTCGTATTTTAATTTTATAGAGTTTATATCACTAGATATCCCAGATGCACTTTCATAAAGTTGTTTACAAAACTACATAGTATGGGACTAAGTTGTTTGCAAATATTTTGATCAGCTTTATAATTAGAATTAATTCTCTCATACTCTCTCAAATATGGTTTTTCAATTAAAATTTTCAGCCTTCATTAGTAAACAAGATTTATCCAACTTTTATTTTACAACCCGTCTAAAAGCTATAGATCACCACGACCAATTTAACAAATTGTAAATCCGTCTAAGCAATCAGTAGCTATTGAAGTTCGTTGCGGTCAAGTGGCAATACCTTAGCAATGTCTCAATTTAAATATATTTTTTACCTCACCTGTGCCAGTTGATTGTTATTCAAAATCAATTCCTGCAGCTGTGGACAGACCCCAAAAGTGGCATTTACCAAGCGATTGTGGCTCAGTTCCAGGCGATTGAGCAGCGGCATATGGGGCAGATCGCATTGCCTTAGGGCATTATACGAAAAATTCGCATAAATCAGTTTTCTCAGATTGCCAAAAAAGTCCCGGTCCAGATGATCCATTTGATTGTGGCTAAAATCAAGCCGCTGAAGTGATGAGTCAACCGCAAAGTGGTTACCCTGGATATCAGCGAGACCACAGCCACTGAGGTTTAGGTACCGCAGATTGGGTAGAATAGAAAAGCCGCTGGTATGAAGGTTTATTGGGGCTGCTGCAGTTAAGTCCAGCTCGACTAAGTTGGCCAAATGATCGGCATTTTCGCCTGGAAAAGTTTTAGTTTGTATCCCGCGACATTGCACTGCATGTTTAACTATATATTAAACCTTGCCCATTTATCTGGCCTCACCTGAGCCCACCTCCAATTCTGTTTGCGCATTACTTATAGAGAGGGTATGCCAGTTTTCAGCTCCCAAATCTACCAGATCCTGCAGAGATGCGACCTCGTTGCACTGGAAATTCCGCCAACCGATGGGCTGGCAGAGATCGACGCCGTTTAACAAGGGAAATCCCCCAAGAGAGAGCCATAGCAAAAGCGGCAGAACCCACTTGGCAGTCAGCAACATTCCTGTTCCACAGTTCGGCCACAACTGATGATCCGCGCGCAACCACAGAATGCGAATGAAAATGCAAATCCAGTTTGGAAAGAGAAGAGTCATCGGGGGGATGTACTTGTACATGCCGCACTATCCAAGCCGGTTTGGGGCGTCATTGATGGGATCTTGCCAAGGGGCTGGCCACTAAACAGCTGTGAAATGTCTCCAAATCAAACACACACTTGTTTATCTTTCTCTATTGATAGGTACTTTCTATAACTCTTTAATAGTGGTTTACATATAGTATACGTTATATAATATTGGATAATTACTTGACAATTATTGTGCTCTTGGAGAAAAAATATTATGTTTGCTTGTATTGATTCCTCGTTCAGCGAAAGTGGTTTAAGATAGTTATCATAGCTCATATTATACAAATTACAGGATTACAAATTAAACCAAGAAAAACTCACTAACTTAGACTAAAACTTAGGCGAAAAAACAAGTAACAATCAAAAATTATCTAGAATCTAATATTAGATTATACATTTATGAGGAGTATATAACTCCTGTGCTAATGGGTAATTCATTTTGGAGGCTCTTGAAGATGTTCAGATTGGCGGATATTATATATCTGGCTAACAAAATATTATTTGGAAGCCAAAACTAAGCCAGAAAAAGACGCATAAATTTAGTTAAACATTATATTGAAGCAATGGATATACATATATATTTATTGAGATATTTAAAGTACATTCCTTACATGCAAATATTTTACTAAACGGTTTTATCAAGAGCTCTTGGCTAAGATGCAAATATAAGTAAATCGCTTACATTACATTAAGATCTTGTACTAGGTCTATTTTCACAATTGTGGATTCTGTTTAATTTTTGTTCTATTTTAGAGCATTTCCCAGAAGACTTGCGACGGCAAATTAGATGGTTTGTTTAACTGAAAACTGGTATCTAAATCAGACTATAGTTACGGTTGGGTTTGTCATCTTGTTGCTGTTGTACAACGGCTGATAATGGGCACTCGATCCGTTCTTAACACTCTGACAGCCATTGGGATACCGCATTTTGACCACATTTGGATTTTGGGTTAACGACGATGTTGATGAGGAGGAGGACGATGACGAAGATAGCGATCCGGTTGATGACTTATTCTGCAGGGGCAGTGCCTCCCCGATTAGCGTAATCCTCACGGGCTTATAGGCGTTGCCATTGGGCGTAGTCGGAGTCGTATCCCATCCAATGGATGAGCGTCTGGGGGTATCAGGAAAAGCTGCCGCCGCCAGCTGTTGATTATAGTTGGTCAGCGTTGTTGAGATGATAGTATGCCGGCGGGTCTGGCTGAGAGCTGGGCAGGATTTCTCCTGCTGCTGTTGCTGCTGGTTGTGGTTGCTCTGGTGGTGGCGAATGATCGTGGTGGCTGCCAGCGTAGAGTCGTGCAAGTGGAGCGTCGGAAAGTGCGTGGTATAACTGGTATATTCGGGCTTACTTCTGCGAACAGAGAGATTAGGATTAGTTGGATGCTCCAGGAAATTGTAAAATTTTCTATTAAGGAACCATAAGCTTTGACCATGCTATAAGGATTAGTTTTACTGAGAAGATGAGATGAATCTTAAAGGTCTTTAAGATATTCAACAAATCCTCAAAAAGTGAATTAAAATACAATTTCCAAGAACTCGAAGAGTTCTAAGCTAGCTTAGTGCGAATGTTTAATGAATCATCAAGTTTTTATTTAACTTTTGACCCATCCCATCTTCTCGACGTGTTCTGGGTTATTTTTTTAGTTTGCATTACCTTGGGACTCTATTTAATTGCCGCATGCAATTAAAACGTTTCACAAACAGTGTTAAATTTTCAGTGACAAATAGGTAACGTTCTTAATGCATAAGATTAGTAGTTAGATATCTTAGATATATTAAAGCTTATATAGTTTTCATTTAGTTAGTGGTTAGTAAATGCCTTTGGGAACTTAGTTTCTCAAGTGCAAGAGTTACAATTATCCATACAGTTATAGCTTAGGTGTAGTATACATATAAGATTGATGGCACAGAGCACAATGATGGCTAGGATGAAATCACAAAATAGTACCTGTTGCTCCCCAAATTGTAGTCTAAATGTCAGATTGTTAGAGATAGAAAAGAGCGGTGTGTGTGTGTATAGTCCATGGGAGCATTTTAGAGGCGAGTGTGGAAGAAAGAAATTCGTATGGGTTAATCGGGGCAAAATCTGGTCTATTGTTAGTCGATTTAAACAAAAAAAAGAAAAAAAAGATGGAATGTCCGCCTCCTGCTGTTGCTGCTGCCAAAGCTGAGGTTGCAGATTTGCAGCTTTCAGCTCTAGCTACTGCAGAATCGGCCCTAATTAGACTGCTCCAATTGCAATTTGCTGCCATTAACGTCAAGAGCCGGCAAAAAGTGGCCAACTGATTTGCATGCCAGCGAAGCGTGAAGCCAGCTGAAACCGATTCCAGCAGCAGCAGCTAGCAACTTGCAGCTAGAAACTTGCAACACCAACTGGCCAATTGCAACAACACTACTCAAATTATATAATGCAAATTAACAGAAAATGTGACAAAATATATTTAAAATGTGTATTAATGGAATTTAATAAATCAGCGGAATATAATATTTTTTTTGTTAATGCAAATGTCTTCCCATAACTTTCTTTTCCAGTATGTTATTATTAGGTTATTGACTCCAATATAGTAGTTATAGTTATTGTTAATATAAAAGCAGTTTTAATAATTAATCATTTATATTGAATAATATGTATAAAAAACTCCTCAGTGTATAAGCAATAACAGGCAGCAACAGGCGGCATCGTTTTGTATTAGTTTTGTTTAGTTTGCGGCCGCGCAGCTGCGGTTGATGAAAAGCCCCCAAAAATTACAAGTATTACACAAAATTACCGAAACATAAAAAAAATGCAGAAACAAAATACAGATAAATAATGCAGTAAGACAACAACAAAAAAAAATAGGAAAAATTGAAACAAACATGAAAGTTTGCCTACCTGGACAAACCCTCCGCACCAATGGCAAGTGGTCGTGTCTGTGAAAGTGGAATCGGAATTGAAATTGTCGATAGCTTTCGGTTAGTCAATGTTGTGCAAACACATATGATCGGCAAGAAATATATATATCTATATATATTTATATATACAAATGACCCGAAGGCCGAACATACCCGCTCCGTTTGGGTGGCCATGCTGATGAGCTCCTTGCCCGGTTCTCCACCAGATCCATTCGAAGCCTTCTGCCTCTTCTCGGCCTCCAATTGCTCGATGAGATCACGCTGCAGGCGAATGGTGCGATCACGATCGTCCACTTGACCCTGGATGAGAAGGGGTTTGGGAGGTAAAACCAAAGATCAGTAAATGTCAGTTCACTCTTGTGGAGCGAGCCATGAAAGGTCACTAGTGGTTATATATAGATATCTAAGCCATAGAGTGTGAAAATCATATCTATATAGGTAAAACGCTATCTTGGCTTAGTTTTTGCCTTTTCAAGACAGTCATGCTTTAATTTCTTTATAAGTGCTTCTCTTCTTTTGAGTTACTAAATTAAGAAGCCAATTCTTTTTCTCAATTAAAGCATATTTTTATAGCATATTTTATACACAACAGCTAAGCAACTCTTTTAACTATTTATAATTGTATGAAAGGAGTGTATATATTGATCGCTTTGGTGTGTAAAAATTGGTAATCAAAGGTGCAGATAAAATGTTAACGTATATTATAAATAAGAACTTAAAAGTATATATATTTTTGAAAGACTTTTATCTGCTCCTTTAATTCATAGTCATAAATATCTTTATCGGTTCAAGGGATTGTTGTATGATTTGTGTTCTGTGGCAAGTCAAAGTGCAAAATGAACTTCTGATATCAACACATCGCTATGTCAGTATTTATATAAAATGTTTATGTTCTCTTGATAAATAGATTTATGATTGGATATATTACATGCTACATAGATTAAGATTCTATGTATCTAAGAAACATTAAGGAACAACAGCGAGAGTAAAAAATGCGATAGAAAAGTTTCGTCCTGCTCCGAATAATTCGGTTTGTGATACCCAGTTTTTTTTTGTGTTCTCCCAGCTTAACGAGCAAACGAAATGCAAAAAACGTGCAAATACCTGAAGGTAAACCACCTGTCTACGTAGATCCGATAGCTCCTGGAGCGGGTCCTCCGTTGTGGACGAGGTTAGACTGGCCAGATCGATGTCATTCAGCTGTTTGCTATCCAATCCGCAGGCGGCAAACAGCTGAACGTTGTCGTTCTCGAAAGGATTGAGTGTTTCCGTCTGTGGAAAGGTAATACGAAAACCAGTAAGTTACTTTCCATTCATCACTTCTGCTCCAGAAATTGCCGCGGGCACAAATAAATAAATTCAAACCGAGGACAGCAACGTACCCGCATCAAATCAAAATCTGGCTCCTAGGAGTTGTGCAAGTGAATGGGGAGTGTGAGTGATGGGTGTGCCATTGGAAATGTATGGAAAGAAAAGTCAATTTGAAAGGAAAATTATGAGTGTACTTAAAGAAAGTAACTTAACCACAACAACCATAAGTTATATATTATTTGTAAGCCAAAAAGTAACTAACAAACTATGATTATACATAATTTCAAAAAGTGATGAGGGACATTAAATGAGACCTAAAAATATTATTTAAATTTAGCCAACACTAACCTCCTGGAGTATTCGCCGCAGTCGGAGCAGCTGCTTCTTAAACTGCAGCACATCCTGGATCATGGCATTGCGGAAGGACTTGTCATATAACATTAGATCGTCCGACGAGCTGTGCAGCTCGCCTCCACACCTATTGCCGGATGCTCCGGATGCAGTTCCTCCTCCTCCAGAGCTGCCACCCAAGCCAAGGTGCTGCTGCTGCAGATGACGCTGACGAGGCAGACTGGCCGTGGAGCCGGACGATGTCCTTGAGTTGGCCGTGCTTCTTTTTCGGGCAGCAGCGGCCGCCGAAGCTCCGCCGCTGTGGGTGGACCTCAAGCTATTATCCGAATCGTTCCCGGTGAGATGTTGGTCCTGAAGACGCGACCGGTTCAGCAATCTGGTGGCACGGGCTGGCAACTGGGCGCTGTAAAAAAAGAGTAATTGAATTATTAATAATTAAGTGATTAAGTAAAATTCCGAATAATATTAATCATTAAAAAAGAAATAACCGAGAGTGCCTGTGATATGTTTCGTTGGCCTGTGGCGCACTGCTGGCCATAAATGTGGCATAGTGGTAGTGGATATGCCGCTGTTTGATGGTCATTGGTGAGCTGGTCCGTTGATGACTTCCCAGGAATCTATTTTCCGATGTCTTCAGATCTGTCCTGACCCTACGCACTCCACTGGGCGAAGATTTGCTGGCCGAACTCGCCTCCGACATTGTCCAAGCTGACAAATCGAATTTCTTTAGGTCGCTACTTGGACTTTAATGCTCCATGTTGTTGCTTTGCGGCAATGACACAATCGCGTCATGCGCAGACCACCAACAGCTGTGTGGAGACTTTGTAGAAAAATATTGTGCGACCTCAGTGCACTGAGGAAAAATGTGGTATTGTTAACCATACAAAGTACTTATTTAGCAGAAACTGAGCCGCAGTTTGTAGTTCAGTAGAAGCTTTATCTTTAATAACTTTATTGAAATAGTAAACTAGGAATTTAAACATCTTAAGAACTCAAAAAGTGGGTAACTATTTTCAATGTTATTGTTGTAGTGTAGGGGTGAGTTTTACAATTATTTTTTCAATTAACGTGGTCGCAATGAAAGTGAAATGCCATTGATTAGGGCTGGCCAAAGGAGCCACCAGTCGGCAGTTGTCAATGGGCAATTAAGATGGGTGAGCAGAATGATGGAGGGAGAGAAGGAGGTGGAGGTCAGGTGGCAGCGAGTCTGGTAACCTGCACGACATGAATGCTGGAAATAAATCCACAGACGCGGCTGCCTTTCAGCTGAATGGTGAAAGTCAACTGTTGCGTGTTGCAGTCACCCAAAATGCAGGGAGAGGGGAGGAGGGAGATGATTGTATATCTTACACATGCGCAGTTGTTCAAAAATTTTACGGCATAATTTAAACAAACTGTTGAAAATCGTATAAAAAGAGCAAACAAAAGGGAAAATCATTCAAAAATAGTTAGCTCATTCGATTATTCACGGTTGTAACGAAAAGGTTAATGGCTAATGGATTTTGGATCCTATCATAATACCCGCAATTATAACGATATTTCGGTTAGTGGATTCATTACGACAACGAAATGTATCTCACGAAGAGACTTTCCTTCAGTTACTAATTAACCGAGCTCAGTCAAGTTAAGTTCCATGAGTAATTTGGCCCCCAGGGAACTGGCACAGCGGCAATTTGAATATTTGAATCTGCGAACTTTGTTGATGGCTGCATTAAGATGATCGCGAATTGCACGAAATGGACTGTGAACAATTTTCAGCTCATCTGGAGCGGCGATGAAAGTAGGAATATACATCTTTTATTGTTCCAAAGACCCCTTCTATTTTCACCGTTAGGCTGGGCTTGTCGGCGCCATAAAGGTTCTCAGCAATCTTTCATTTCAATTAAAATTAAATTCCCTGCTGAGATGGTTTTGATTGCATTTGGGAAGGGAAAGATCGGACAAGCTGATCATGTTTGATTTATTTGCGGTGTAATGTTGATTTATTCGTTTAATTTCCAATTAGGTTTGCTAATTAAAAGGAAACATAGCTTACAATTATTTATACTTCAATTAAATTTTATTACTTAACTTTCAAGTAAACATAACTTTTTTTGCTGATAATCATAAAACCGGTAACTATTGTAAAATTCTAATGGATAGATTTTTGTAATTTATGAAACAACAAAGGCAAAGCCAAAAGTTCAAATGGACCCACTCGAGTGTTTCCAAACATAAAGCAATTAAAGTGTACATTATGTCCAAACCATAAAACACAAAATACACTTTCCCAAATCCCACACACAACCACTGAGCTAGCAAAATTCCACATGCTTGTGAATTTCGCACGCCAACTTTATGCGGTTTTTGTACTATGAATATGAATGCAGAAATCGGGCCCCAAAGAGATCCACCGAAATCAAAACAATACGAGTAAGTCAGTACTTTGCACAACTCAATTCAGCGAAACTCAGCAGGCGGCAGTGCCGGATATTTCGTACTCTAAACAAAAAACAAACCGACTGTCAGACGACAAAATGTCTGTCATTGCAACAAGTGCAGAAAATGGATTCATATATCTATATATGAAAGGCAATATTAGCAGGGGTGTAGAAAAGGGGGATATTTTAAAGACCTATGGGTAATTATTATAGTGAAATTAAGGGTGATTTATATTTTAGCTATAACCCAAATAAATTTATTATACATTCCCATCTAATAACATCTTAAATCTCTCTTAAACTACTTTATAATAAACTCAGAGAAACCTATTTACCCCAAAATTTAGTAGTAAAATCTAGATAAGGCAAGTAAAAGCATTTCGTATGCGAGTTTTATTTTGCTACGTGATGAGCGTTTAAGCACATAATTATATTCTCTGATGATAAGGTTTTCCAAAAACTGTGGCAGTAAAAGCCCCCTGGAAATTGCCCCTTGGCTACGCACCTGCTTTGCAGCTACCTTTCTACACATTTAGTACGAATGTGTCTCATTTGTGACTGCACACGCGCCACTGCCAACGGCAACTGTCTCGGCAACACAAACTTGGCTCACTCGGTTTGGTGCAACAGTTAACAGTCAACATGCAACAATGACAAGTAATCATAATCATATAGCGATCCACGGTGCAGAGGCGTTGACATACACTACTCGAACTTCACTTCCCAACGGTACTTATCAATTTGTGCGGCAAAACGTCATTTGTCATAGAGTCGGAGACCTTTGGGGCAAACACATAAATACAAACATATATGATATTGTATAGGAGGTACCCATCTGTATATATAGTATATATAGGAAGGGGAAGTGGAAATGGAAAGGCAGCTTCATTAGAGATCCCGGGAAGGGGGAGCAGGCTGCAAGCCACGCAAGTAATGGCAATGGCCATAAAAAAATAAAGAAATAACCAACATTCTCACACGGCCGCCTCTGATGAGAATCCGGTGTGTATCTCACAGGTCCAGAGTTCTCTGTTCTCCACGCCGAGAAAAACTAGATCTAAAGATCATGAATCTAACTATATCTTTGAGGTTGAGATTTCCTTTGATATCATTTTTAATGAATTATTTGAGATCACTTTTTATATTCTTTATCAACTTCCGGATGTTAAAAATGATTTCAATTTAAAGAACCTTACTCTCTCTTTAATTGCCAACATAAAAGCGCATTTTCTTGAAGTGTGTAAAGTGAGGATGATGATCAACGATGGTTAAGATGGGGATATACGTATGCCCAGAGACTGTGTTTGGGGCTGGGGAATTTGAAGTTGGGGAGCACTTTCGTGGCAGACAGGTAGATAGGAAGGTAGGCAGCAGAGGCAGCAGCAGTTATCTGTATCTGTATTTGCACTCGATGGTATGTTCGTAGTTTGTGTGGCAAACATTCTGTTGAATTATGCATGGCGATGGAGATGGAGATGGGAACAACCCGTACCCGTATCCGTAACCAAAACCTGAACGCGTCGCAAATGCAACTGAACTTGAAGTGGCTGAAAAGCCATAAAAGGGGGCACCTCAACCCCCCTCCAGCTTGCCCCCTTTCTTTCTTTATGTGCCTGATATCTCTGTAATTGTTACGTTTATTGCATCAAATTCCAAAAGATTTTCCAAACGTTGCCTGCATTTGCATGTGACACACATTTTAGCCCATTGTGTGTTAGGCCTACCCCTTCTCCCTTCTCCCTTTCTTTTTGTTTTTGTTTTTTTGCCCCTCGGTTGCATATCGAATTACGCAAAGCTAAGAGCGGAAATCATCACCCACTTTGGCTACCACTTGGCTAAGGTTTCTGGGCTTTCGGTAGCTTCTGTATATGCCGTTTTGTTAACCCTCCAGATTGTGCCGACAATTCGTTTCGTAAATATACGCAATGTACAGCAGTTCTCAACTACAGTGGAAATTCATTAGGTTAAACACAGTAATAAAAGTTATTGGTAGTAAAAATTTTAATTTTTTTAAGATGGATTGTATATATACTCGTATAATATCATCAACGCTTTTTCTTTTTGCTCAAGAACTTTTGATTATGAATGTTGTACTTGTGGAAGCCCAACCGTACTTCTTCTACTCACTTGAAACTGCGGGTCTAGGCCAAATGCGAAATGTATCCCAGGCAAAACGCTCGTTTCATTGACACTTGTGCCCGCGGCGTGTCTTTTGTTATGAATGCTGATCGTTCGATGGCGTCGGCGTTAAACCGCCTATATACACGTTTGTATCTGTATCTGAATCTGAAGCTTTGGATGGGCAGGTAGCATCTGTATCTGTATCTGTGGCATGGAAGAGGCACCAGTGCGTATCACTGGAGGCGACTACTGCCTGCGGTCACTGGCTCTTTGCTTTTGGCTATTATTATTATCTGTATATTTTTTTTATTGTTTTGTTTCGGTTATTAACAACGCAATTTAGGACTACGCAATAACTCCCACGCGCTTTTCGAACCGCGGCTCTTACACAATTCACCAATCTACAATTGCCTTTATTGGCAGCGCTCTTCAAACCGATATTGCTGATGGAATGATATTGGATTACGAATATAATTTATTATTTCGCATAGCTAACCGCACTGAACTCACAAACCGAACCGCGTGCTTTGAGATCTTGTTTAATACTGGAGCCGAAATCGAAGTTGGAGCCACGGCTCAAGTGGTAATGGAGTGGTATGATATGGCAATGGAACAACACAGTGGAGTTGGATAACTTTTTAGCGGGATAAATCCAAAATCAAAATATGTTTTAACACAGGAAATATGTTCACAGATCAAAAATACATTATATACTTAAATATAATTATAATTTTATGATTTAAAATTCCAAAAATCGCTTGAAAATCGTCAAGTTTTCCCACTGTAATTGGTTGCTGTTGTTACCAATGTTTCGTTTTCCCAGCGTTCCTTTCAGCAACAGCAACATCAGCAGCCGCACCGCTTACACGAGCAACATGAACGGCTGGCAGCGGTAAGAATGTTGCTGGTGGGTCGAAAGAGATGTGGTCGTGTGGGTCTGGGCCGCTTTTGTTAACGTTCTCAGAGTGTGTGGCACAGCCGTTAGAAAGAAAGAAAGCCAGATCTCTTGCTTGGGGACGAGAACAGCAACGGCAATAGCCATAATATTTATGCACCCGGAATGCCGAGACTGGGGATCACAATGCTGCTTTTGTTGCATCCGCGTGAGCGTTTCAACTGAGAGGCAATCATAACTCAGATTGAGTGGGCTTATTCAGTACTTTCTGACGATGATGATGACGAGGAGAGGTAGATAGAGAGGAAAGGGAACCTGGCCATTATGTATGATTCATTCACTGGCCAAGCGGGTAAGCCAGTCTCAAGGTTAATCCACAAGTGCGGTTTAGCATGTGACTGGTGGTTTTTTTGAAGTATCTGCAGCTGGCTGGTTTCCAGATTGGCCTTCTAATGTTGGCTATGTTTGGCCAAAAAGAAACCTAAAAAAGGAAAGCCAATGTCCCGACGCAGGCGCATCTATTGGATCCATCGAGTGACAGGTTAAACCGCAACAACACATTTAGCCATAGCCAGCGGCATTTTGCAGTTATTTGGCTGTTGGCTGCGAAACAGGTTCACATATATTCACCAGACAATTGATTTTTCCTAGCAATAAAGTTTTTCTCAACTTTTGGCTGGAGCCAGAAACGACTCCATCGATGTTGATGTCGTGCCGTTGCCGGTTGTTGTTGCTGGTGTTGCTGGTGGTGCTAGTGTTGCTGTTGTGACTGTTGCTGCTAGTTCGTTGCCATGACAAAAGAATGCGGCACTCGCCATCAAGTCTCCGGCCAAAGTCAAAATGTTATCTTAACTACGGCCACGATTTGGCCAAAAAGCCAAGACCCAGTCTGGAGCTCCCATAGATGGAGACGGGAATGCCACACAGAGAACAAAAAGGTTAACAATATATATTTTTTGGTTTAAGAATTTGGAACATTTTTTACAAAACAACTAATAGATAAAAGATAATTAAATCTTGTAAATTGAAGTGTGAACTATTTGAAGAAGATTGAAATGCAGAAATATATAAGTTGGAAAAAATTGAAGTCTCAAGAGTATATTTAAGTGATCTTAAAATTTTAAAAAATCATAATTTTTTATTTTCTGTGGAAAAAGAAAGAAAAAGAGAGATGGTGGTGGGAGGCATAGACAATTGGAAATGCCAAGTGCCGTTGCCGTTGGTCGCGTCTTTGGCTTTGGCTTCGCCCAGAATGCACAAGGCCCACACAGAGTTGTTGTTGTTGTTGGCTGCAGCATTTTGGCCCATAAACATGCCCCAATAGCTATCCCCTTCTCTTTCTAGTAGCCGGCGCTAAAACATGGCAATTGGGACCGACAACGGGAACTGAATTGGGAATGTCGGATGGATGGAGACGCCAATGGATGGGTTCGCCGATGGAGTAACCTTTGGCAACTGGCAACAAATATAAAAGGCAAAACCTGTGAGTACCAACCTGTCCCTGTCCTGGCCTGTCCCACTGATGTCTGTCTAATTTTGGGCTAATTTCAATTTCCATTTCCATTTACCCTTAAAATAAAAGGGGAAGGGCGTGCCATGCCAAAGCTGTGAGCTGGCCAAAGTAAATTGCATTTGATTAACCCCAGAGCGCCCTTTTGGCAAACAGAAACAGACAAACAAACAAACGAGCAAACACGTGAGATTCACTCTGGCTGTTTGTTTTGGTAGCTAAATCAATTGATGAATACTCCTGCATGAGCAATTTACATTAATACTAGAAGGCATAAAGGGGTTTTATTAAGAAACTATTAATATTTACAATTTAAATCAAAATTGTACCTCTAAAGGTTTTAATGCAATTCATTAAGAAATGTACTTTTTGAGATTGGTATTTACTTTGACGGGAAATTAAATAACGAACTCAACGAGGTTTAAAATTACATGTTATGATTGTTTATGCAATGAAGAAAATACTGTGCTTTTGGGAAAAATTAACAGGATTGACCAAATGTTCTTTTCCATGTGCCAATCGATAAAAAATTAAATTACAGGCTCAACTACGTGTGCCATTCAATATTCGGACCATTTTCGGCTTTGTTATCGAAAAAATACTGATTATTTTCTAAAAAAAAATCCAGTGTACGGTTTCTTACACAAAGTTGCCATATATTTAGCAGTATTGTAGTTCCAGCTTCGTCAAGTTGCTTTTCTTCAACTCAAGTTACAGCATTACTTTTCGCTTTGAGTTATGTATTAACCCGAAACTGGTCATAAATCTCCGCCTTTCTAGGGCTAACTTGAGTAATCTCTTACCGGCCGGCTGAAATTTGTCTAGCAGCCAAAGAGAGAGGAAGGCTGCGCTAAAAAGGGGGAGAGGCTGCTGATTGATTTGCAGCACCTCAAGTGGAATTGGGTTGCCGGGGAGCAGCAGGAGGAAAAGTGCCGGGAAAATGCACTTAATAATATTCCAACAGTCGCTGGCTGGCTACCTGCCAAGTGCAGAGCTAATAAAACCAAATCAAAGGCGATTCAAAGAGCCACCGCCACCGCGTTTTCTGACCCGATGCAAGCAATTCAATTAGCTTTGCCTAGGTAAGGGGGAATCGAAATTATTCGAATCAAAAAACGGAGATAACTTTTAACAGATAAAATTTTAGGGAATGGCAGGTTTTATTTTCGAGGGCGTAAAACCACATTTTCAAATAGATTGGTCATTGAGATTCCGAGTTACGAGAGGCCAATCAAGTACGTATACCATTAACTTTTGACCTATTTATCTACTTTTACAGGAATTAATTGTTTTAAACATATTTCAAATTGGTTTTTGGGTAAGTCATCTTTTTAAATTTCTTATTCGGCAAAGTATTAATTAATTATAAACATGTTAAAAACTCACCTTATTCTCTCCCTTGGTCCTCCACGCTGCCTTCTTCCACGCAACAAAGTATTGAGCTCCTTCATCACATCGCTTCCTTTGCGCTCCAACTCCGAGAGAAGTTCCGCCTCGGTCTCCGCCTGTATAGGATCAATATCCTGCCCACCACTGCCAATCCTGTGAAGATCGGAACCACTGCGACTGCGTCCCGTGGCATTTGTCATATGATCGATAGAGTCCACACTGCTGTTCATATCGAAATCCATCATTAGATCATCAGAGCAAATGGATTCACAGGGGGAAAGAGTATCCAAAGATTCAGCTCGATCCATGACTGCCTTTCGCACCGCTGCCGGAGTTCTCAAACTCAACTCAATGGCCTGTTGAAGCGCGGTGCGAGCCTTGGACTGACTCTTTAAGGATCGCAGAGATCCTGTTTGGGTGTGGGTCAGCGTTTCCATTAAAGTAGGTGTATCCGTTGCCACCTCATGGGCTTCGCTATTGCACAGCAAAGCTGGCTGATCTGCGATCTCATCATCTATGAGATTTCCACAATCCGAGCCCAAGGAAAGTGAATGTGAGGCGTGAGTTGGAGTGCCAGGTGATATGGGGCTGCGACTGCCTGGAGGATCTAAATCCAGTTCAAGAACCGGCGAAATATCATCTATATCGATGTCATCAATATCTTTCTGTTGCCGTTCCTCATTTAACTTGTGCTTTTGCAGCTTGCCACCTGCCTCTTCGGAATCTTCGGTGCTGCTGACCAAACTATCTGTGGGAGAAGTCTCATCATCCAACAGGAGGCAACTACTACTGGCCAAAGCCAGCTCGGCAAATTTGGATTCATTGAGAGCATTGTTGAAGGAACGGGGACGCGAGGTGCCTGCCTCCCGATTGTCCACCAGATGAAGATTGAGCATAGGCTCCTGACCCAGTTTGGGTGGAGTTTCCGTCATTGAAGCTGGAAAGGATTACGTGAAATAAAATAACTCATTGGGAAATCTAAAATAACACTTACAGATTGTACTAAACTGCATATCGGTGTTGATCAGGCTGATCTCATCCAAACCCAAGGACATGTCCTCCTCCTTCTCATTATCCCTGGGATTCTCAGGAGCCTGGGTATCACTACTGATGCTCATGCTCATGCTGCTGCAATCCTGAGCTGCCAGAGATTCTCCAGCCTGCAGGCGCCAAGTGGAGGCCACCGAGGACTGGCTCTGATGTTTGGCACTCTTCTCGGAGGTGGACGAATCCAGATAAAGCTTTTCCTCGTCCACACTCTCGCTCTCGTCGGAGCCACTTATCTTGGGTTTCTCTGGTTCCTGATCCTGTTGATCCTGGGCTCCAGGGGTTTCCGCTTGACGTCTTTCGTAACTTTCCCGACTCAACACCGTATTGGATCGTACCAAACCCAATAATGGAAGAGGAATACTCTGACTTCCATCAGTGGGTAGTTTTGGAAGTGCCAGTGGTTCCACAAAAGAATTTGATTCACTGGAGGGCGGATCATCGGCATCGCGAACCTCGAAAGTGTGTCGTCCACTCATCACCATCTTGAGGTTTCTGGGCCGGCTGCGACTTCTCTTGGAACCCACTGAGCTGCCCGAACTGCTGTCTAATGCCATGTCCATGCTAGCTATTCCGGAATCTGCACTAATCTCTCGACTTCCTGAGAATCCTCGACGTGTGGAGTTATTCGTCAGCTGCTTAACGCTCTTCTGGTCAAGATGTCTTGACTGTGGTTGGACATGCACTGAGGTCAGAGGATGCTGTCGTGAGCTGGTAGAGATGTCCTTGGCCCTTGCACCGGTCGAATGGGCAGGCACCGGTGACTGTACACTGCTGCTAGGCGTGGTCGGTGTCGTGGCTGTCAAACTGATGGCCACCGGGTACTCTGGCCTAGGCAGGCTCACTGTCTGCAATGTGAACTTCGCATAACTCGCTGGAGTGGGTCGCGGTGTGGGGCGAACTCTGTAAAAGTTCAAAGAAATGGTTTAAGTTTGATATTTATAATAATATTTCTCCTTAATGTTTTTATTTTTTGATATAATATATATTTTTTATTCCAGATTTGGGTTACTCACATGACATTGGCATGCATGCTGGCCAGATTGTTGTAGTTATATCTCGGCTGCATTGCTCTCGATCCCGACCCGAATCCGGATCCCGAACCCGACGTTTCGTCCGCTATCTCACCAAAGAACTGCCGCCTCTGATACTCGATGGTGGTGTTCTGATTCAGGTTGAACGTCAGAGTTTTAGGTTGGGCTATTTTCGGCTCCCCATCGCCGGATCGTCCGGCGTGTGCGCTCTTGGAGCGTCGTTTCACTGCGGGAAAAATCGAAAGAAGTTTTATTGGATGTGAAAATGGAAAAGTTTTGGTTTATTTTTGCGGCATCGACACTCACAATTGCTCACCAACACCGGACCACTTCCCGTTCCGCTACTATTATTATTGTTGTTGTTCTGGGCATTTTGGACTGTCGATTCCGTTTCAGATTCTTCGCTGGGCGCAGTTAGGCCCGCAGATGCGGGGCGTGGCACCGCCCCACGATAGCCAAAACGTCCACCGCCAGCCGCACCTGTCGCCAAAGTGCCGGTCTTCTGGACAGCGGCGGCGCCTACTTTCTCAAAGTGAACGGGAACAGCTGTCGGGGGGAGAGAAAGGGACGAAACCAATGAAATGTTGGCATGTCAAGTCATTGTTAAATTGGCCAAATTGTCGCCAAATTAAAAAGCCATAACACTTGGTCAGCTATTGCCATTTTTCAAAGGATAAAGCTACTTTACAAAGCGAATTGAAACTTTACTTCCTTTTAAACAAACATAAGAGCGTAAACAAAACATTTTTGAGTTGAAGTAGTAGTAGCTTCACTATAGACCACCCTTTTTGACAACTTTCTAAGCAACCATAACTACATTCTTACCTCCCCCAAAATACTCAATTTACTCGACTCACCTGCATTCCCGTTGTCGTCCTTTGTGTCTGTGCGATTTGCACTTTTGTCCCCACCTTCCAGGAGTTTCTTGAACTTCTTGGGCGTCCCATTGAGCTTTTTGCGGAAACCAAACGACATGGCTGTGCCTTTGGTGTGCACCGTCTGATTCTGATCCATCGCCTCTGAGGGATTGCCATTACTATTTCCGTTGCCATTGTGGTTGCGGCGACTTGACTTGCTGCCCTGTTTCTTGCTCTCCGCCTGTCCCTAAAATGGAGAAAACCGGATAGGGAAAAGGGTGAAAAGCGATTAGGATGAAAGCGAAACACATTTACAAATCGGGTCAGCACAGATGAGAGGCGCACGAAAACAAAGGAGCCTCGAGGACTTCCCTAACAAGAGACAAAACACAATAGAATACATAGCTGTTAGCTAACTACATGAGTCACTTCGTCCTACGAACAATAACTATTTGCGAGATACTTTTTATGGAATCATGATAACTATCAATATGAAAGCGAATATACGCGATATGTTTTAATGGTCCGCGGAAAACACTTTTTCTGGGATGTTCCGGTTTTCACTTTAGATGCAAATTGCGTTAACTTTATGAAAAAGTGTAAATGTGAAATCCGGAACAACCTTTGATAATGTACTATCTATGATACATATGTAACTGATGTTCATATTTATCTAAAAGCCAATACTATTTTATTCAACAAAGGAAAATGTCCATAAGATGTATATATTTATGTGATGGTACCATGATGACTGCCTCGACTTCCGCGTCGTTTGCTGCGTCCTCCTCAACTGATGATTGCTGAAGTTCCTGGTCTAGGAGCGTATCCTTATCATCGATGTTCTTCGGCTCTTTGTGACTTATTTGTTGCTCCTGATCGGAATTTTCCGCACTCGGTTCGGCGACCCCCTCCTCGTTAAGCTGGTGTGATGCGAATTTTTCTAAAGAAACGACGACGGGGTTGTCGCATTCATCCATTTTGCAGGTCGTCGACAGAGGCAGAGGAACTCGCTATTCCGGCGAGCCTCCGTCCGTTTGCTATCTCCCCGGGGAGTCGTCTTGATTTTGGAGTCGAATATATCCACTTTAGGATGCAGTATGGCTATGTTCATGACACGGCCGCCAAGGCGCACAAATTACGCCATTTATAATTGCACTTGAGCCGCACACAGATACACAGCGAGTACCTGCCAGTACACCCACACGGGGGTCCTTGAAAATCTAACGGCTTGCTGGAAAAATCCTTTGCAATCTGCTCGCACTTTTCACGCCTCACGTTATGCAAACTTTTTCCTTTACAAAATTTTCTCACAATCTTAGTTTAAATTGTCTTCCTGGTTTTCTTTTTTTTGGTATTTGTTGTTAGTTTTTTGTTGTTTTTTATAGTTTTGCTCAGTTTTTTTCTGCTGCGACAGAGTGGCGACGATTTTTCACTTGTGAAAGCACGGCAACGGAAAATTGAATGGCGTGCTGAAAATTCTCACGGAGCGAATGTCTTCTTGTGGTGGGTCTGGTCGTTACAGTCTCTTTTGCTTGACCACAAGGGGAGAAAATGAAAAATAAACGGAGAGAGAATGAGAGTTTCCCGGTGTTTGCTCATGCGCAAAAAAGGGAAAACAAGTGGCTGTTCCGCAGAAAATGGTCTAAAGTCGGGGGTGGCTTAGTCTGGCGCCATCTAGCGGTTTTGGTGGTGCTTAGTTGGGATATGAACCATGGCAGAAGACAAATGTATGGAGACTTATGTATTTTTGTAAGTAAAAGCGATTTTAGTTAGTTTGTAGACTATTTGGTATATAAAAATATAACTTTTTTTTGTTATTTATTATTATTTTAATAAAGTAACTTTTAAATAGTCGCACTTTTTATGATATAAGGTACTTAAATAAACGAGATTTTATACCAAATTAAATTGAATTTGTATGAATATGAGAATTTTCATGACCTACTGTAAAACATTTTTAAAGAAAAGCCTTAATTCTTCAATAAATCAAGGATTTCGGATGTAAAACAAGGTTGATTTTCCTTTCTTGCACACTCAGTGATTCATGTAAAATTCAGGTGTAATAAGCCCTCTGAGACATTATCCGAGTAAAATAAAATTTGGTTAAGGTCAATTGCTGAGTGGGGAAGGGAGGGATAAAGTGCTTCGTTTAAGTATGAAAGATGATATGTGGCGAGGGGGCCGTTTTTGACAGCCTTTCCTGACTTTCCCCGACCACAATGTTTATACAAAATTAGCTTGTAATAAGCCTTAGGAGAAAAGGAATATGAATATGCAAGCTCAAACTTTTAAAGGAAAGGCTGGTAAGTGTTCATGGAAAAAGAATCTCAGCCCCTTGGGTTATTTACCCAAAATTTTCTTCAGGGTTGTTTAATTGCAATTTTTTTATGTTTTTAACTTAATATTAAACTTAAAGTGCCCTTTCATAGGTTATGTATCCTTTGTTTAACCCCCCAGCATTAGTATTTAACTTTCTGCTAGAAACAATGGACAATAGTCTGGCGAAAGAATAGATTGTTGACCCATAAACGGTGACACCACATTTTCGCCAGACGCAAACTTTCCCGACCAGAACTCGCAACTTATCAATAGAGCTTCGCCAGAAGCCTCAAGTGAGTTGTAAACATTTATCAATATTACTCACCGCCAGCCAGCCGTTGTTCTCGACTGGTAATTGAGGTTCTGGCCTTATTCTGGCCTGGTTCAGGATGTGATTGGAGGATGCCTGCTCCTCGGCAGTTTCGATGGCCTGCAAGAGTTCGTGCAGCAGGAATTCCTGGCAAGTGGAGTACTCTGGGCCAATGGTTGATGCCAGTGGTTCCGCTGGGGCAACATCATTGTAAAGGGATTCAATGTGCAACACTGCCTGCTCCGATGGCTTCCGTCTATGGGTTATGGTGTAATAAAAGGGTTCCTCCTGCTGGTCTGATGTTTGGCTGCTAGCTGCTATGTATTCATTACTCGCTGTCAACTGTTGCCAGATTTTGTGTGCCTGAGCCAAATCTTCGTGGGATACTGCGATTGTCAATACAGATTGATGATGCTCAGCGTCTGGGGACGCGAACTGTTGAAGCGGAGGCGACTGCCTGGAGACACACTTGCCCATGGCATCTTACATCAACTGGAGTTCTGTGGTAACGTACTCTGTCTTCTTATGTTTTTCTTTGTAAGTCTGCTCCCTTCTTTCTTGTCCTTAAAAAATAGAAACAAAATATACTTCAGTGTTTTGAGAATACCTCAAAGCGAAATAGCTTCTGTCGTTTCCTTATCAAATTGACATTTGAATAATGATAAACAATAGATTATATTTAAGTGGGTCAAAAGTGTATTTTAAATGTTAATCAAATGGAAGCAAAGCGAAACAACTTAAGGTATAGCTTGTAAATATGAAAAACTTCGAATATATATTTCGATATACTTCATCATTTTTAAAGGTTTTTATTCGGAAATAAGTATATACTTAACTATAGTTAATAACTAGTTTAACCTATCATTGGCTTCCACTTAGTTTTCGATTCATATTTCTGTCATTTTGTCATAAGAAGTTTGTTTTTTACGATGTAGAAATGAATTCATCGGAAGATTGAAATGAGCAGGTTGGTCATAAGATCCTCCTCGCACGGCACATTGATATGCTGGGAGCTCGTCTGACTTGCGGTTGGCGTGCAGGTAATGATACACCTGTCCCGCAAAAACCACCAAACACCCCTCAAACTGGCCTGGTAAAAAAAAGCGCCGAACCCCAACCCCGTTCTGGGCCAGTCCATTGCCATTGCATTATGCCGCGCTGCACGTTTTTTATTAAATTTTATTAGAGTGCCGCACATGCACAACGGACCCGGGGTTCCGGATACGGAACCAAACTTCTTTCATACCTCCGATTGCACTGAACGAAAGGGGGGAGAGCAGAGTAAAAAAAAGAAAACAGAGGGACGGCTAACACAGAGGAAAAGGCATATATATTCACGCAAATGCAAGTAGCCTTTGGGAGAGAGCTGAAGACCCTGGGATGCAACCTCGGGTTTTTTCCCCCCTCCCTGGTTATCCTCATTCCCATTACCCCATGCTCATCCTCATCCTCAACGTACAGCTCCTGTTCCTGCTACGTAGCTTTATGGCGTATTTGCCGCATAACAAAATTTACACCCACCGGGAGCCGTCGACGCGTCGGTGCACTCAATGGGTCTGCCCTTTGTGCCGTAGGTCCTTTGCTCCAGCGGATCGAGCCATATCCACTAGGTCGCAGGTTTCGCCACTACTCGATAACAGAATTTGTTCAATAATGAATTTAAGCAGGAAATGCATTTTGCCAAAGCCAGTTGAGTGACTTGGCTTATTCGGCAGGTAAATATTCTCGTAGATACATATATACCTCAAGTGCGGATTGACTTTAGTTTATGGCTTGGAGGTGAAAGTAGGTGCTGAAGGAATCTATTACCAAAACAAGCAACTTGATTAAGTATCCTTGGATGTGTGTACTTTTATTGAGGTTGATTGTGTAATTGGTTTACTCTACAAATTGCTAATGGGTTGTTATTACCTAACAATAATGGGAGAACTGTTTGTATTAAGAAACCATTTATAAATAGATTTAGTTAATCAGTTTATTTAAATGCAAGCTCCATAAGCACAATGTATATATAATCCTTCGACTTAAAGAAAAAATTTCTGCAGCTTCTCAGCTTGCAGAGTATTTGGTTTGCTGCTCTCACGAACATTTTCCTTCAATCCGGCTGTGTTTATGCCTGCTTATGTCGTTTGGCTTACTTACATTTGCCGCGGCTTTGTGCTGCATAAATTTTCAGTGGTACGCCCCCACACCCATGCAGCGCTACACCTCCCTTCCCCAAAACATCCGCCCATCGCCCACTGAAAGCTACGTGGCTCTTTTGTACTAACTGCCAACTTTTATTTGCTGCCTTTTCACATAATGAGGCAATTTTGCAGTTTGTTTTGCGCGAGTTTTCACTTGTTACTCTTCCATTTAATAAGCCAAAGCCAAAGCCAAAGGCAGAAGCTGAAGCAGGAGCAGTAGCAGTGGCAGGAGCACAAGCAAAGGTGCTGTAAGCTTGTAACTCTATGTATTCGGCCCTAATGCCACATTTTGTATGCGCCGAGGATAAATCCCGCTCAGATCCTCGGATATTGGTCGCATATGCAAATGGCTGCTGCAGCGCAGGTAATTATGTGCATAAATAACTCCGATTGCTGGCCAAGAGACTGTGGCGCGAGACTCAAGTAATGCCCAAGATTGGTCAAATGGGTGGTGTTCCTTTATGGCTTGCCAGGATATCCTGCGGATGTTCTCAATTGGTTCTCCCCCGAACGCTGGCGCTGGCGCTGGCTCATGCATAAGCATAACCATTGCCCATTTCGAATCGATGTGGCATGCAACAGCTGCTCGCTTACAACACTTCGGATTGCCATGGTCCATGCATTTTAATTGTGCAACCCCGCCAAAAAAAATATATATATAGAGCGGAATTTGTGCACCCAAAAAAAGGGGAAAGTAAACTCCTTTTTGTGGCTTCAAATGTTAGTTTAGGAGAAAAGGATGTTTCTTTCTCTTTACGAAAGTGTTTTTATGGAAATATCAAAAGATTTTATATCTTTTTTAATTAAAAAAGTAAAAGATATAAAAATTCCTTATCAAAGCCCCAATCAAATGCTGATTGATGTTTAAGGCAATTCAAAGAATTAAACAATTTCCCTTCGCTAAATGTTCTTTGTTTGTGGGCGCCCTTTAAGCCCAATTTGGCAGAGTGTGTAAAAGGAGTTGGAATTGGTATGCCGCCACATGCGTCGCAAATGGGGGCAAAGGGACACCGGAGGGTCTATCCAGTAAGTTCGGGCTGTCGGGGGCCAAAGTTTTGTGCCATGATTAAAACGAAACCTCACCAAAGTTGCCACCGCTGACAATTTTAATGCAAACAAAAACTTCCTTTTCGCTTCTTTGGAACGCTGACAGCGGCAAACAAGAAGAAGGCCAACTTATTTTAGCATGCAACGTTCTTTTTTCTTTTTTTTTTATTCATGCCAGCCAGTTCCGCCCCACTACCCCCCCTCTTCCACACCATTAATGCAAATTGACGCGGATACAAGTCGCTACAGGTGCCAGATCCGTTCAGGTAGTTTCCATTTTTTTGGCCAGAGCTTTTCGTTGGCCCGTTGGTGGAAAACTTCTGGCAATTCACGCGGACATTTGCGGCTTTTCTGCCGCCGAAAGCAATTGCATTTTGGTAATTGAACAAGTCAACGCTTAATTACAATGCACTACAGTAAAACACCATAACTGTCTGCGGCATTGAGTGAAAATCCAGCCGGCATTTTCCATTCAACGAAAGCGAAATAATTTCCATTCGAAATGCGCAAAAATGAGCAATTCTTTTCAACCATTTTCTGCCTGGATTTCAACCCGTTTTTTCGTTTTTTTTTATTTTTGCACCACCCACTGGTGTTTTTGTTGGTTTTTTGTTTGAAACAATTTAATTGACGGCTCATTTTGTCTTGCGGCAGAAATTCCATTGGAAAACAGGAGCGTAGACGCTGCTGAAAAAGTTCACTAAAATTTATACGTGATATCCTTCATTTTTCCCCGATTTAAAATCATTAAAAAGTGTGTCATAAAGTATGCTTTAAATATTATTTCAAGACTTAATAAACACAGTATTAAAGCAGTTAGCAAATTTTTCCAAATTTAAAATTTTAATTGGTTTTTCCTATATTTTTACCTCACAAAAACACATTTCTTAATTACGTTTAACAGGCAGTGAAAAAATTGCTACGACACCCCTTTTATTCGGCAGTCGAAACAATTCAGCAATTTATCGGTTAAAGAGCGACGTCCGGGAAAATGACAGAAAACAAAGGAAAAAACCAGTGAAAATGACTTAAAGCAATACCAGGGGACAGTGGATTGTTAAAAACTGATCTATATGCTTGGTTATTGAGCA